CCCCTTTTTTTTTTTTTTTTTTTTTTAACACAGGGGATCGAACTCGGGACCCTGTTTTTGTGAGGCAGCTCTGTGCCACTGAGCAACGTCCCTGGCGCTCTCTACTCTTCTTATGTCACCTTCATTTTCTTACAGAATTTAACCTTTTGAGGCAAATAACTTTACCATTGATTTTTCACAGACTGTGGATCTGTCTGTAGCTGAGAGCACTTCCTTTTGAGCTCTTGTTAACCCATTTATGCTGAAAATTGCAATATTTTGAATTTTTGCATGAACTTCATATATGTTATGTAGAAAAATTCTAGGAACAAGAATTTGAAGAGAAACAATTTCATCATGTGTCATTGTTATGGGCATTCCAAAAATGGAACACTAGGCATTGAAAGATTAATTAATCAGTTAAAAACTTAGCTACTTGGCGTGTGCGCACGCGCACACACAACACACAAATATATATATATATATATATGACCCTCTCCTGGCTACCATAATTTAATCAGTGCAAAAACTAATGTCAAATAACTATGAATTGAAAATGTTCTCACAGCAATTATTCCTGTGGCACCATGACTCATCGACTCCCTTGGTACCTCTTTTGATGAGGTTTTAACATTGGTCAGGGAAAAAGACTAATGATAATAGTCTCACCCTTTCTTGATACTGTTCATCTTTAAGATCAGATGTCTGCCTGGTCACCGATACTAGCCAGGGACCTCTTCCTCCTGCATGGAAGTTACTCATGCTGTTGGACCATCATTTTGATACCCATTGAATACAGCAAGTACAGTAGGAGTGACATTATTGACCTGGAAGATAATAGACAATGATTGAAAAGGAAAAGAAAGAAAAAGCTTCAAAGTCAAGATTTTATCTAGCTTATTTTTCAAGAACAGATTGTTTAGATCATCAGGCAAATATCAGACATTAATCTCACTTTTCAAGTATTAAGATACTCAATAATTATATGTCATCCCTTCATTTAAAATAAAACAAACAAAAAACCAGAACAGCCCCACATTTCTACCTCACTTGAATGAAAACCACCTAAGGATAGATGTATAGAATGCAGGACTTATGCTTCATCATTGTCTTGATGTCATAAAGTTAAAGATAATTCCAAAATTTTTGCCTTCGATCAGACCATATTTTCAGAACAACTGTGTTATGTAGTGATGTGGAATTTTATTATTAGGTTGGATTGAGATGACAGAATTCAGGCATCAGAGAAAGAGATCAGAAGATTGAGACTCATTTTAGCAAACGAGTATAATTAAAATTCCTTGATAGATATCTGACTTCTGTCCAATTAAGAAGGTAGCTGTGTCCCAGAATAAATTTAGGGCATAATATAAGACAAAGTACAAATCACATACTTTTGAATTTGAAAATTATTGGGAAAAAACTAAAGTAGTTAAAAACACCTGTAACCAAGTAAATGAAAGTTGCTTTTCCTTTACCAGCACTGCCACACACATAGCTGCCTCCTAGGTAAGGATTATCCATTTAGTATGTACCCTTCCTAACCTTTTTCTCAGCTAATGAATCTGTACTTTCAGGTTGATATAGCTGAGCTTTTGTGACTGCAGCTATTTCTGGAAAGCTATACCATGATGCAGTCACTTACTGATGGACATTAGGTTATTGCTAAATATTTGCTCTTACAGAGTGTTTCAGGTACAGTGTACTTCTGTTTCTGAAGGACCAATTCCTAGAAAGTAGAATTTCTGTACCTTCTGTACTGTATACCTTATGAAATTGTAATTGTTGTATCTCTTTTCAAAAAGCTTATACCATTCAATCTGTATTCCCCCAAACCCATGACATTCTCAATAGGGCTAAATATTTTTAATCTTTAATTTTTCAATATAAGGGACAAAAACGATATTTTGTTGTTGATAGTACTCTGATTTCCTGTGAACTTGTTCATTTTATCATGATTATTGTGTACTTGCGTTCCTTCTGTAAATTAACCTATTTAGGTCTCTGTTAGATGGTGTATCTTTAGTAGTTTTTAGGAATTGTTTTGATAATAAGCCTATAAAGACTTAATCTATTTTATGTTTGTAATTTTTTTCTCCCATTGTTTTGCATCTCTTCATTTTTATTAATCATGTATTTTGCTATACAGAAGTTACACATTTTTATGTAATTAGATTTTACTTAATGATTTAAATTTTTATAATTTGCTTAGAGAATGTTTCTTCCACCTCAAGGTCATTTTTTACAACTTAGGTCTTAAATATATTTAGAATTGTATGTAATATCATTTTTTGGCCTTTTGGCTAAGATCAAGTGTAGAGTTGTTTATAATATTTATAAGTAAAGATTCAGTTTTACTTTCTTTGAGATACATAATCAACTATTTTAAGCTCCTCTATTGAATAATTGTTCTCTTCTGTTTGTATTTGCTGACTTTATGTGTGTGTGAACTTTTGCCTGAGCGTCTGTTTCAGTCATTTGTGCTTGAAGCATTTTTCTGTACTAGTATTCAAGTGCTTTTAATTATTGGTAGTACCACTTCTACCTTTCTAAAATCATCTGGGTGCCTCCTTTCTCTGAGAGCTGTACTCTGCTCTTGAGTGCATCCTACATCTATCTCTGATAAACCCTTCTCACACCTTTTTATAAAAACAAAATAATATAAAATAAAATCATCTTGATTGTTCTCATATTTTCACTCTTTGGCATATAGTCAACCTGTGAGGTTTCACTATAGAAAAACCTACTGAGGGCATGCTTGGAATTACATTAAATGAGTAGGTCAGTGCCTGGAGAATTGATGTTTTTACAGTACTGGTACTTTCCATTCAGAAATACGGTGCCTGCTCATTTTGAAATTTTGATCCTTCTTTTTTTGTTTTTGGTGTGTGTGTGTGTGTGGTGTTTTATAATTTTCTTCAAATGAGCCTTGGATAGTTTTTGTTAAAGGCATATTTTATTTTTCCCCAACTATGCTCTCCTTTTCCAAAAACTTTTTAATATTCTGCAGTATGAACTTCAGAATCATTTTTGTCTAGTCCTTCACCGGGAGCTTTATTAACATATTCTGCCCTTTTTTTTTTTTTGGTACTGAGGATTGAACTCAGGTCCTTGCACTTGCGAGGCAGGTGGCAGAACCACTGAGCTAAATCCCCAGCCCTATTCTGCTTTTATTTGTTTTGTTATGTTTTCTTTTAATTTTTGAGACAGGGTCTCACTATGTAGTTGAGACTGACCTGGAACTCACTATGTAGCCCAGGCTGGTCTTGAACTTGCAGCAATCCTCCTGCCTCAGCCTCCCGAGTGCTGGGATTACAGGCGTGCGCCACCACACCCGGCCATTCTGCTTTTAATTACATTAAATTTCTCTAATTTAAACAGATCACCATCTTCATATCACTACTTCTTATCGAATAGTTTTACTTGTTCATTCATAATCAAATTACTCTTTAAATTTTTCTCCAATGTAGGAAAAAGAATTTGCTTAATTTTGGAAGGAACAACCTTTCTCACATTTCTTTGTAATCTTCACTATCTTCACAGGCCGTCTCAGCATTGGTGCAGCCCTTAGGAGTATGTGCAGAGTATCTGAATCCCTCAGTAGTTCAGGTAGGATGGGCCACTTTACATTAATGCACACATTGATTGATGTAAGATGAACACACAGTACCTGTTTCTTTTTATCAGATTGTTGAGAATTGTGCTTAATCCAAGGTAAATTTTTTTTCAAAATAGCTGTTCTTTTTTTTTGGTACCGGGGATTGAACTTGGGTCCTTGGGCTTGCAAGTCAGGCCACCGAACTGCTGAGCTAAATCCCCGGCCCTCAAAATAGCTGTTCTTTTAAAAATATCTGAAGATAATAAAAATGCTTAATAATTCAAAGTATGAGACCTCTAACCTGAAAAAGGCTATTTACTTTAATGAATCATTTTATTGACTTTTTTCATTTTCTCATCTATAAAGTAGGCAACTTATCCCTATCTTCCTCTTAGTTGTGTGTCAGGAGTCAGTGCCTTTATGAGTTACTTCAAGTCACTCTTGAGCATTCAGCTAGTAAGTCACTCACTTCTGAATAACAGTTGCAGCACATCTTGTCTAAATTCCTGAGTCTACCATTGTTAACGTCAGCTGGTCAAGAAGAGTCAAAATATGAGTGTCAAGTTTTCTAATGCTAATCCATTATAACTTTTGCATACTTAAAAAACAGGCCATAAATGGTTTTAGAAGCATAATATCCTTCATAAGCAGTGTTTCTGTATGCCCATATGCATTATTCCATCTTTCCAATGTCAAATTTACTTAAAATTATTTTAGTCATGGAGATAAAGGTGTTTTTTTTAATGTGGGTACTGAAAATTCCTGCCATTTGTAAATGTTAGATACTTTAGATATCAGGGTTAGCCTGTAAGATTTTTAAGGGAAGTAGGATGGCTTGTTTAAATGTTTTCTTCCTTCTGTTAACCTCTTTAGCAGCATCTGCCACTCTTCCCAGTTTATGAAGCACATAAATATGACCATTAGTTTTGTATCTGAAGCACTAAGACATAAACAGGCAAAGTGATTTGTTTGAAATTTTAATAATTAATGATTGATTTTTAAAAAAAATAATCAGGTTCTGGATAGGATTTTAAATGCATTTATCCACACATTGCTCTATGGAAGGGAACTGAGCATAAATATTCTACATGCTAATTAGGTTTTTTAGAAAGTACATATAAGAGCATAGTTTAAAAAGAATAGGAAAGATACTAATTTCCAATGAAAGTGTATAGAAATTAATCTTTCTTTTAATTATACATGAATAGCCAGTCTTAAATTCATTCAGCAGTGAATTTATACCATGATGTAGGTTGTTTTTTGTTTTTTTTGGTATCAGGGCTCAAACTTAGGTCCTTCTGCTTTCGAGGCAGGTGGCAGAACCACTGAGCTAAATCCCCGGCCCTATACCATGATATATGTTATTTGACATAAACTAATGATTTCATTCACCACATGCTACTTGCAAGACATGGGAGACTTATTTTACGCTCTGTTCCCTCATCTGCAGAATGGTGATAGTTATAATACCTATCTTACGGAGTTGTGGTGAGGATTAAACAGACCCTGGCACTTGCTGACAATGACACCAACCTACCTCTTAATTGTAACAGCCACCAGTCCTTACTGGACAGTTGGCATAAAAATGAAGAAATTGTGTCTGGATAATTGTGTGATGTTATTTTAATTTGTTGATCATGTATTAGTGGCTGTGACAGTCAGATATTGTCTTTTTTAAACCTTACAAGCCAAATGTTTAAAATTATCTTACTTAAATGGAAGTAGTAGTTGAGCTAGTATTTCACCAGTTGTGACATTCTGTTTAGTTACCTGACTGGATTGCCATTCTGGAGCATTGTGTTCAGAGTCTCGTCTGTGGATCTCATTCATATCAGCAAGCAGAAGTAGTTTGTATGAAGCATATTTTGCCTAGTCTGTGTTCATTTTTAAGTTAAATACAAAATACTTATTACAAGAACAATACATTCTTGTGGTTAATGTTTTGAAAGTTTGCCTCCGTGTCTTGAGATGTTCTTAAAATCATTCTTATAAGATATAATAGCAGGGTCTGTATCTATAGTAAAGTAATGAATCTGAGAAACAGAGTCAGGTTAGGATTTGGTTAGGGCAGTATTAGCTAGGTAGTGGTGGCTCTTAATAGTAGAATTCATATTTTTCATGGTATTCTCTGCTTTGTGACTGGTGAATGAATAGCTCCTAGCTGGGGATTTAGCCCAGTGGTGTTACCTCCTGCCTCGCAAGCACAAGGTCCTGAGTTCAATCCCCAGTACCAAAAAAATTTAAAAAAAAAAATTGTTTAAAAAAAAAAATGTAGGGACAGTGAGAAGGATAGGGAAAGGGGAATAAGGAAAAAGGAAAAAAATATGAGAAAATGTAAAAATGGAATTAAAGTGTTTGAAGGTGGGGAGGGGAGGAGGGGGTGAAGGAAGGGTGGAGACAAGGGGAAAAAATGAGAACCAAGACCTGGCATGTAAAGGTACAAGATCCCAGTAATGAATGTAACTGTACTGCCTACCTAGAATGTACCAATAAATTCAATTTAAAATTTAAAAACAAATAGCTCCTCTCTCCTTCTGGGACAAATTCAAGAGTTTTAAAAGTTTTGACTTTGTTTTGCAGTACTGGGAATTGAATCCACATCCTTTGCACTGAGTTACATCTCGAGTCTTTTTATTTTGAGACAGGGACTTGTTGAGTCATTAAGTTGTCTAATGCATGAGCTTGGACTTGAAGTCCTCCTGCCTCAGCCTCCCCAAGTGCTGGGATTATAGGCATGTGTCATCACAACCAGCAGGATTCAGGGGTTCTTACTAACTGCAACATTTTGTTTCTGTAGCCCATGCTAGACCCAGTCATCCTTACTACAATACAGGATGTGCGGAGTGTGGAAGAGAAAGACCTCAAAGACAAGGTAAGTTGTGTTGCCAACTAGATAAACCATAGTGCCCAATAGTCTATCTACCAGAGCCAGGACTTGGAAGGTTAGCACAGCATTGCTGTCTAGAGTCTGGTCACCTAATTGATTCTCAACAAATTAATTTTACATTCCCTCACCCAAAAAGGTTGGTGTTACCTCAGTCAACAGAATGCAGTATTCTTGGTATGTGTTCACTATTCAGAATTCTACTGACTTGAATTTGCAGTCAATATAATGGAGTAGAAAAAACTTTAAAATAATTTAGTATTAAAAGCTTTTTTTTTTTTTTTTTTTTTTTTTTAGTTGTTTAAAACAGTTTTAACATTTAACGTGATTTATATGTCTTGGATTTCTTGAGCCGGTTTGGTTTGGTTTGGTTTGGTTGCTCACCAGTGTACTTAATTTCTGGTGATCAAAGTGTAGTTAGCTAGTTATGTAGAATATCAGGTACCCCAGACTTCTTAGCCTGTATTCTCCTGTGTGTTGTGTGAATTGGAATTGAAATGTTTTTACAGTTCTTTTTTCTGTTTTTATTGAATTAAAGAGACTGGTCAGCATACCTGAGCTCTTGTCTGCCATTAAGTTACTTTGCATGCGCTTCCAGCCTGATCTTGTAACGATTGTGGATGACCTTCGACTTGACATCCTCCTGCGCATGCTGAAGTCACCACATTTCAGTGCTAAAATGAATTCCCTTAAAGAAGTGAGTTTTACATTTGTTTCTATAAGTTAAAAGACTCAGGATCTGAAGCTCTGCCAAAGCTTGTGGTAATTAATGTAAAAATATTGAGAAAAAGAGAATGTTTCCCTTAATCATATAATGAGATAACAGTGACTATGTAGAAAATGATTATATAGAAAGGATTTATAATTGCTAATAAACCATCTTATTAGTATTACTTTCAAATTTATTCTCTGAAGTATTTAATGTTATTGTGACATTTTCTACGACGTAATCTCTCAGAATGTATGGTTTGAGATTTACTTTTTACCCCGAGGGACAGTTCCTTTTTATTTCACATGTGGGTTCAACCAAATCTTAAACAAGAATGCATCTACAACTGTGTGGGTCTGAGTAAAATGATAGAAGTAATTTTTTTTTTTTTAAGTTCCCTAAACTTGTATTTGGTAAATGACAAGTTTAGCCAGGACAGTTCAGTTGTAAATCCAGTGATCTTTCCTTCAGATCACTGAAGGGTTAGTTAGGATTCAGGATTCTTAATTGCGTGTGAAATAAACTAATCTTGAACCATTTTAGGCCAAAAGAGGAATCTGTTGGAAGGAGGCTTGGCTCTTTCACATAAATAAAAGACCTGCCAGGACTTAGTCCAAGTCTTCCCTCTGTTTTTCTGCGTATGTTGGCATTGTTCCTTCTATGCGCAGTGTGACATCTTTCATACGGTAGAGCCCAGTGCCATGGGTAGCTTCCAGACTGTACACCCTGCAGTTCTTATCGTCAGTGAGGGACTGACACTCTCTTCCTCATCCCAGTTGTAAATTTTGGAGGATGTGCCCTGACTGAAATGTGGGTTAGATGTGCATTCCTGAGCCAGTTAGCAGTGGTTCAAGGCGTAGAAGCAGAGAGGATGGCAAAACGTTCTTTCTAGACACATCGCAAATAGTCTGTTGATATCTGATTACTGCCTTTTGATACCTGTTGGCTAGTTATAAATCTTATAGATTTTACATATATATGTGGAGATTTTAATTACACATACTAGATTCGATCACATCAATCCTGTCTTTTCAGGTAACCAAACTTATAGAAGACAGCACTTTATCCAAATCTGTGAAGAATGCGATAGATACAGACAGACTGTTAGACTGGCTAGTTGAAAACTCAGTTTTGTCAATTGCACTGGAAGGTGAGTTGCTTTCAAAAAATAAAAATTAACACTTTTAAAAGGTACAAATCATTTCTTTGTATTAGATTTTGAACAATCTTTTAGAAAGTAACTGTGACTTTGAATTAATAGAAGTATATTTAGAGTCAGTGTTCACTGTATCTGGTGTCTTCCTCTCTGGTGTTTTTTCTATTAGGCAACATAGACCAAGCACAATACTGTGATCGTATAAAGGGGATTATTGAACTCTTGGGCAGTAAATTATCATTAGATGAGCTCACTAAAATTTGGAAGATACAGGTAAGTTGATCAGAATTATTTTTGCCCTTTTCTGACATGTATGGGTAACAGGAGAGGGAAGAGAGTGGTGTGTACAAGAAAGGGGACCTGTGTTTTGCCTTAACCTAAGCATCTGTACCTATTCTGTTTCACGGTTTTAGGTTTTTATTAAGATTGCTTACATCAAAAGGACTCCACTACGCCCAAGAAGTTCCAAACTACTGATTTAGTCTGCTAGTCTTATTTCTTAGATTAAGTTCTTAAAAACTTTCCTGAAGGTTATCAGTAGCAGACTAGGTTAGGTGTATGTATATCTTTTATCAGTCCAGGGCTGTGACTCTGTGAAGCATATCTTTAATTAGGACCTCTCTTTGGAGCCCCTGTGTATCTCATCAATATCTTTCATTAAGCCCAAATCTACTTGGTCTTATTGTCATTCAGTAATGGTATCATCCTTACCTAACTGGTAAGCCAGAAAAAATCCTAGAGCTCACCTTGTCTGTGTCCACGTAGTCACTATATGAATCAAGAGTCTCATCGGGAAACAAACTGTGCTATGTATTTGAAACACAAGAAATTGACTACAAGGGATTGTTTACAAAGGTGTTGCTAAGGTGGATGGTTAAAAATAAATATAGGAAAGAGCAAAGAATGAATGCTGGAGAAGTGAAAAGGAAGAAAGGATGCTAACTAAGCCCAAGGAGAGAACAGTGCTCTGAGAGGTGCTTTCCTTACAAGGGCTGGAACTGTCAGTCATGCTTTTGCCACTCGCACTTCTGGGAACACCATACTGCCTCAGCCCACCCTGTTTTTACTCTCTGAGCCTAAACCAGAGATGCTCCTGCCTTCCCCTGCCTTATTTCTCAGCACTGCCCCTCACCAGTAGAGCATACAGTAATGGGAAGATAGCTAGGAAAGGATTCTGAGAAGTGTAGTTTGTAGTCTCCCGACCCAACATTACTGAGCAAACTACAGAAGGTAGGGAGCAAGAATGAAAAAGAAATCAAAAACACTCCTAGGTCCATAGATTTTATTTGTCTTGGCCTTTTCGACTACCCTCATGTAATTTTGTTCTGTGAGTTTAAATTTTGAATTTGTATAAGGTTGAATATTAGAGATCATGGTGTCTGTATTGTGTATACCTACTACATTCAGTAAACATCTGCACTTGATCTTAGCCAAAAGGCCAAGAAGTGATCATTTAGTAAACATCTGTGTACACAGCAAGTGCAAGAAAATTAAAGAGTCTACAAATACCTCCCTGCTTTTCACGTTTCTCACATGTGTCACAGTAACGTGGAACAGTACCACTGTTGAAATTTTAAAGTGAGTGTTGACAGTAAGGCAATAAGGTCAGCAGTAGGTCTGCAGCTCTGACTTACTGCCCATGAGAGATACATATTGATTTAAGTAAGTCACACAGTCTTTATGAGCAAAATTAGAAGTAGGGCATATTATACTCCCATTTGAAGTTCTTGAAATTATTTTTAAAATATTAAAAGTGAATACCCTTGTCTTGTAATTTAGTCAGTTTGAGTTTCTTACCTAGTTGAAAATACAATGATACTGTACCTCGGTTTATGAACTTAATTTGTTTTACGGTTTGTGGTTGCTTTCGTGTTTGTGTGGAAAGGTGGCCATGGTCATGTTTGTCACGCACTGCAGAGCTGGCAAACTGAAACAAAATTTTGCTGAACGCTTTTGTTGCAAACCAAATTGTTTGTAAACAGAAGCATTCATGAACCCAAGGCATTACTGTATTTTTTCTCTCCTTAAAGTGAATGTCAGACTGAGAACTTGATTCTGGGATGTTTTTACTTTGTTCTGTTAGAGATTTAACACCTCTAGGAATTTAAATAAGGTCAGCTGATAACCATTGATAATGGTTGCTTCATGTAGTCTTGCCAGTATTATCATACAAGTGTATGCTGATTAGACTTCAATCAGTTTATTTTTGTTATATTTTTGCTTTTCCTTGTGTAAATTACCAGGGAGAAGACTTAGGTTTTGCCAAGTTCTAAGATTTAACATTTTTCCAATGTCTGCTATTTTCTAGTCAGGACAATCATCTACCGTGATTGAGAACATTCACACTATTATTGCGGCAGCAGCTGTGAAATTTAATTCTGATCAGCTTAATCATTTGTTTGTCCTCATTCAGAAGGTATGCATTCAGTTACAGTTGCTTACTTCTAAATTTTTCTAAAAATTTAAACTTTTGAGACCCGCCTCCCCATTTTTTCATTCAAGGTTAAAATTTTTGTTCATTTTACCAATTTGACTGTAAAGTAATTTCTGTTTCTTTTTCTGTTATACAGAGCTGGGAGACTGAAAGTGATAGAGTGAGGCAGAAGCTTTTGAGCCTGATTGGACGAATAGGCCGGGAAGCTCGCTTTGAGACCACTTCTGGAAAGGCAGGAGAATCAAATAGATCTTTTTAGTTACAAATGCTTGTTGCAGTTGGTGTTTGCAGATCGGCTGGCTCATCCTAGTGGTATTATTGTAGGTGTTGGATGTACTCTGGGAACTGGCTCATCTTCCAACCTTGCCCAGCAGTCTTATTCAGCAAGCCCTGGAGGAGCACCTGACAATCCTTAGTGATGCATATGCAGTGAAAGAAGCAGTCAAGAGGAGCTACATCATTAAGTGCATAGAAGATATTAAAAGGGTTGGTTTCATCTTTGGTCTAACTTTATTGTCAGAGCAACAACACTGCCTGGGAAATTAGAACCAAATAACTTTCCTGCCTATTACATAAATTAAACTAAGTGTTCTGTTTGGAAGCTCTTACCTTAGAGTCTACGATTGGGAAATTATAAGTATTTCTTTTATAAGACACTTACTTTTCTTTTAAAATAAATTTTCAGCCTGGAGAATGGTCAGGTTTGGAAAAAAACAAGAAGGATGGATTCAAGGTAAGAATTTGCAGATGGACACAACTAAAAGGTATACTGATTGAATAATTATTTTGAATAAGTTGCACCACAATTTAAAAGTACTAAAATGCTTTAGTGTTTTTAAATTAATATCCATATACAAACTTGATGTTTATGATCTGTGCTTTATTTAAAGATTGGGTGTTACTTTCTCTTAAAGGGGAAAACGTAGTGGCACATTGAAAGAATAGTTTTATATAACTTTTATAAAATTATAAGACTTTCATCTTAGTTTTCCCCTCTTAAATATGATCTAATATGTACAACTTTAATAAGTACAATGGATTCTTAAATTTCATGCCCATTTTTCTCTCCTAAGAGAAGTAGAGGAACTCCTAGATAGGACAGGAAGAAAGGAGAGGAGTTTCACTCAGTGCTGGCACTTAAGTAGCACTTCAGCTGCTAGGTTTTAGTCCATCGCTGCGATAAAGGCCTAGTGCTCGCACTGGATTTCAGAAGGGAGGATTGGATGGTGGCTGCAAGAGGGACTGGGGCTGTGGAAGCCTGGCCTGCAGCGTCTCCGGCTTCCTATGCTGGGAGCTTGTGGAATATCCTGGTGAGCAGATGTAGTAGTAGCAATGGTGGCTTTACTGCTGCTCCAGTCGGTAACCTTCCACTATTCCTCTTGAGAGCGATTCTTATGGTTGCCAACTCAGTGCATTGGGCTTTCCTGGTTGCAGCAGTCCTCGCCTGAACAGTATTACCTTCCCACATACGCCCTGGCTTGCCCAGACCAAACTATTTCATTTTATTAAAGGAGAAAAGTTTGTGGTATATCAGCAAGTGGCGTAGTATTTCATTGGTCAGTCATATTCTTTGGTTTTCACTGATATTTCTTAAAAGAATTTGAGATACTACTAATTTTCATTGGTATATTCAAAGACTCAACTCTTACTCATAGGCTTTGATGACTTAAGGGCCTTTTATTCTCTAGAGTTGTATTTGATCATAAGGTTTAGTTGGGAGCATTTAAAGATGTTGTGTTTCTTACTTCTGACACTAAAATTTGATTAGGTGAATATTCTGCACATGACCTAGCTTTAGAGATTTTTAAAAGCATTCCCAGACTAGAGCTAGTAGTGCTGGAGTTATAAGAAATTATTCCTTTAATTCAACAACAGTGCTGTCTTTCTACTCAGATGCAATTTGAAATTTTCCAATTTTCTCAGCTCAGTGACTCATATAATTTAACAGCTTCTTCTTATGACTAAGGAGTTCATCAAGTTATCGAAGAAGTTTAGGTCCTTCAGTAATGTAACAGGAAAAGGGACTCTGCAGAAAAATGGTCTCCTCAGCAGCAGGTGGACTTCTTTATAGATTTGAAGGTCAAAGATGAAAGTACTTTTCTTTCCCTCCAGGGAAATGGCTTTTGAAACCAGAAAACCCTCCTGAACCATTATCCCTTCCTTGTTGCAGCTCAGCATTACCCAGCTCTGCAGTCCGTTGCATCATTGAATCTTTTATTGCTTTTCTTGCAGTCACTTCATTCATGTTTGTTGTTTTATAACAAAACTCAAAAAGTAACAGGAAAATTTCTGGAGTCATTTTGCGATACTTGAAAGGAATAGTCTTCCTTTTTTATTTTCCCACTGCTCCCAGTAAAGAAATTCTGGTGTACCACTATTTCCTTCTAAATAATATCTTACATTTTTATATAGCACTTGCTAGTTTACAAAAGTGCTTTCACAGATACTTTCTTAAAGTACACATTGCTAAAGGGGGTCAGTGGGAAGATCAAAGCCCCCTGGATATGGCTCCAGGCAGGGGAGTGAATTATTTACTGCCACTAAAGGTGTTTCTCTATGCTATGCCCTTTCCTGCCAGGCAGCAAGGTGGGCTGACTGGGGATTATGTCTCCCTGCCAGGCTACACAGAAACTAAGCAAAGGGTAAGACAAGATCACCCACCTCTTATTCCCCTCCCACCCTAGCTACCTCTGTTCCCCAAACTGATTCCCCTTCCCTCTGCTTTTGACACTCATAAAATTCCCAAGTCCCACTGTTGTGTTCAGAAACTCTGACCTTTATTTCTTAACTTTATTTCTGTAGATTCTGCCAGGGTTCCCTCAGCTCCCTCGGTCCTCTTTCTTTCCTTTGCTTCTTTTAGACCTTCCACTCTCCATCCCAACCCTTTCCCTCTTAATTTCACTTCTTTTTTCTTTCAATTAAAAGTTTAAATGTACTTATCAAAAAATTTTTACTAAACAAAAAAGCATTTTTTAATTCAATCAGCAGTATTTGCGTATTCTTTAAGTTATTGTCTTTAGGCCTCCTAGCACAGTGCCTGGCAGGCTTTCTGTAAATTCTAGTCCCCTTCCTCTTACTTCTTCCCCTTTTCCTGTGAGGGTACTCAAAACTTCGCTTGTATAGACTGAGTATCCCTTATCTGAAATGCTTGGAATCAGAAGTGTTTCAGATTTCCAAGATTTTTTGCATTCTAGAATATTTGCAAAGATTGTACTGCAAAATTTTGAAATTATAAGTGCCATGAAATAGGAAACTTTTGAGCATGATGTTAGCACTCAAAACGTTCAGTTTCTGAGCACTTTTGAGTTCAGATTTTTTTATTAGGAACACTCAACTTGAACATGGTTGAGTTGCCTCATGTAACAGAAAGTAAAAGTAGCAAGGTGTCTCAAGACAGACAAAATCACAGTGATGTGTTAGTAGATGAGGAAATACTTTTTAAAAAGTTTCCTCTCATCGGAAAATTTCTGCTTTGGTTCCAGATTAAAGGCTAAATCTTGAAAAACAAGACAGATAATAAAGTGAGGATGTTCAGTTTTCAGAAGACAGAACTGAAGAAGAAAATGAAAGCTTCCTTTAGGTGTTTAGAAGATTTGTTACAGAGAGATTTGATTCAACTTTTTTCTCCCGAGACTTACCCAGAGACATGTTTCAATAGAGTAGATCAGTGAACTTGCTTGTGAGAATAGGATGAAAACAGAACACGTGCCTTCTGAGTAGTGAGTTCCTCATCACTGGAAATACTAAAAGACTAGTAAATCATTTAACAAAAAATTGAATGAAGAGAATTTACACATAGGTTTACCTAAACCAGTTGACCTCACAGGCTTTATCTAACATTGATCTAATTTGGACGTCCTATTAACAACTCCTCATGAAATCTCAGTTCCAGGACTTTGTTAATTATGTTCCTTTTGTTTACCATAATCGCATCAGAGAAGTAAAATTTAATTGGGGAAGAGTAGTTTAAATTGTTCTTGTAACTTGGCAATATAATACCATGACAAATTGGGATAAATAACATCTTTCCTAGTTGCTAAACTTTAGAAGGCTATAGAAAAAAAATTCTTAAATTCCTGTTTTAGAATTTTCTTATATAGTAAGTTACAATCAATAATAAATTTCCATGTTAACTAAAAGTATTCTAACCATATTGACTTAATTGGTCACATTGATACTTATTACTCTTACTGCTTAATGCTAGAGGGTTCATGTTTATATCCTGATTTTTGTAATCTGTTGATACCGATTTGAACAGCAGCCTCAGTTTGATTGTTACTATTTTGCAACTTTTTTATTTTAGCAGAAGTACTCTAGATAGTCTCACGAGTAGTTGGCTTTAAATATATACCTTATTTCTGTGATTCTAAGATGCTAGTCAGTGTAACCTGAATCACAGATCATAAATTTGCAGAGAAAAAAAACTGTATATTGAATTTTTACCACACATTGTTTAGATTCACAGTCAGATGCTAAATCCAAGCTGTTTTGACAAGTCACGCACAACTTCCCTGTGGTGCACTGCCTGTCATGGTCTACAGTCGTGCTTTGGATCACTCTGAAATATTTCAGGCTGGCTGTGTAATTTTGAGACATGTTGAAGAATATAGAGTTTTGTGTACTTGTCCTCTTTCATTAAACTCAAGCTGCTTTTCCTTAACTGAGTGATACTAAATTAAACAGCTCCTTTGCATTAAGGTACAATTGAAGACAGACATTTAGTGCTCCTCATGGCCTGATTCCATCACACTTTGAAAAACACTTTTGTCTGAGTCCATTAACATTCTCTTTGCTCTTAATTGATGGACACAATCAGCATTACATCATTTTGTACTCTTTTTGGTAACATTTAACAAGTCAGTGATCCAAATTTAAACTTAAAGACCATCTTTGTTACTATTTCCACCAAGTAACTAAATCAGCTCTTATGGCAAATACCTCTTCTATATAATTAAGTTTGCACAAACTGAGGTAAAGACAGCTGTATCAAACTTACACCCACGCCTAGTGGCTGGTAAGTTTCTCTTGATAGTATGAAGTATCAATTTAAGAAATGTAAATATTTGTAAAACCTATGTCTTACACTCCAGGAAATAGGGCATTTGTTAATTGACTAGCTAATCATTATGAAGCAAGGAAAACAGTATTGTTTTGGCAATAGCTTGCCCATATTTATATATTCAGTAATAAAATACTCTTCTGCAAAAGACATCTGCAGTATTTTTCCTACCCAAAAGGATCTTCATTTTCCAGGAAGATTCAATAAAACTAGAATTTTTAAAACAAACAAAATCAGCTGCCTTTTAAATAAATACTGAGGGTTTAATAAGCTTTGATTGGTTTTTGGTTGATTAGTAGTGCTTAATCTGAGACCACATTTTGTAATGAAATTCTATAGTTCAAAAGTTGAGGTTTATTCAAAACCAGTGTTCTTTTTTAAAGAGTGTTGCATGAACATCAGACTTTTCAGATCTATACTGTGAAGGCTAGATTGTCAGGTACCAGTTTCAGAAATGCTATAATACATTTGAAAGTGTTTTTGAAAAGTATAAGGGAGCAGGCTGAAGAGATTGTAACAATTAATAAAAATGGCAATGAGGGGATAATGAGGATTGAACCCAGGATCCCACACGAGCTACGCGTGTACTTCACCTCTCAGCTATGCCCCCAGCCCCTTATTAATAAAAATAGAATTACCTCTTCTGAAATTGTTTTAACTAGGAAATATAAACAGATCTATTTTCTTCAGTATTTAGACTACTATCAGTATTGGATCAGATCCTTGACGTCTTATTCATATAAAAAAGATCATATTCTCGCTCCGTTTTACTTGCTGGCCAGTTCATTATTAAGCTTTGCCATCAATTTATTGTGTCAGTACGTCTGAGCACCCTGTGCTACTTAATCTGTCCTCTGAAGTTGCTAATTCCCTATTGTCTGTTTTTTGCTGATACACCCCTGTACATTTACTGTCACTTCACATCCGCTCCTGTTTGCAGTTCTTGATTTAGGAAATTGCATGCAGAATACAAAATTGAAGACTGAATTATGAGTGCATGGAAGAGCTATAAATGAGCAATATGAAGAGGAAAATAATAGAATGTGTAACAGTAAAACCTAATTGACTTGGAAATTTTTTATAGCTGATAAATGAGCCTGCCATTTATTTCGAAATTTAATTAATGCAACTTCTTTTTCACTTAGTCATCTCAGCTTAATAATCCCCAGTTTGTATGGGTGGTACCAGCCTTGCGTCAGCTCCATGAAATTACCCGTTCATTCATTAAGCAAACCTATCAAAAGCAAGACAAGGTGAGAGGATAGTGATTTTGATTATTATACAATTACATAACTTCCAAGAGAACATGGCTAAAATTTTTGAGTTTATAGCTTTACAATTACTAATGTATATGATGTAATTTGATAATCTTGATCTTAAGCATTCTTGCTTTCATGTCTGTGGAACTTTTCTTTTGATGTATCCCTAGCTCCTTTCCAGTTTATTTTGTGCCTTATTTGTTGAAATAAGTAAGCGCACTTTTAAAAATCAGAGTGGTGTTTTAGAAATTTGAAAAGACTCAGACATGTTTGGTATCACAAACAGATTAATTTGCCTAAGAAGCTACAGCTTTCAGAGTGTAATAAACTTGAGAAGAAAAATCCAGAAGTGTATACAGAATGTGAAATAGCCCTTTTCGAAGATTTTTAAATTTCTTTTTAAATAAGAAATCTCTTTTAGATGCAAGTAAAATAAAATAGTAGACAGGTTTATTAGTTCCCTAGTAAATGTACATGCCAGATTGATATTTGCTGTTATGTAGGAAATGTGAGTGTTTTCTTATTTAGGATAACATCCTAAAATAACTGCAAATTGTCATACCACTTTTCTTTTATTGTTTCTGCTAAGAGCATTATTCAAGACTTGAAGAAAAATTTTGAAATAGTGAAATTGGTAACGGGAAGTTTGATAGCTTGTCATCGACTCGCAGCAGCTGTGGCTGGGCCTGGGGGCCTCACTGGACTAACGCTCGTGGACGGCCGATACACTTACCGGGAGGTATCAGGCATTGTGTTTCTGTTTCATGATTTGGAGCATTCATTTGGCCTTTTATTTTTCCTTAAATTATAATAGTAATATCTGTTGACTGTAACCATAAAGAAGTAGCATGAGTTATCTTTATAATAATGGTACAGTTCTGTATCTTGACTATAGACTACCCAAGATGAAGTTTAGAAAATACTATTTATGAGTTCATCTTACAGGAACTCACTTAAAAATTGCATATAATAAACTTTTTAAAAAATCCCTTTTGTCTTTGATTTGAAATAGTAATTGCCAGTTCTGTGGATAGTGGGTTTTATTTTTCAAATCAGTTGATTAGTAATGTTGCTTAAAAATTAGAAAAATATCTTAACTCTCCATTGGTGAGCTTGTGGTATTTTATTTTGAAATTACTGAAATTATAATTTATTGACATCTAAGGTTGACTGAATTTGTAATAGACTTGAGGCAGCTTCTGTTATGTTGTACTGTTCACTAATAAAGTTTTGTTTTAATGTTTCTTTTAGGCATGAATATCTGGAGTTAACTGATTAGTTTTGTTTTATTTTGTTTTGTTTTTGCAGTATTTAGAGGCACATCTGAAATTTCTGGCATTTTTCTTGCAAGAAGCTACATTGTATCTAGGTTGGAATCGTGCCAAGGAAATCTGGGAGTGCCTTGTAACAGGCCAGGATGTTTGTGAACTAGATAGAGAGGTAAGAAGTAGGTATCATGGATAAAGTAAGGCAGAAATATTTCAATATTATATTCTTGCTTCTTTCACTTTTTTTTTTTGTTTGTGATGGGGTACTAGGGATTGTACTCCGGCCCTTGTGCTTACGAGGCAGGTGACAGAACCACTGAGCTAAATCCCTGGCCCCTTTCACATTTTTTATATGTCTCACATCTTCAGTTTCTAAACACTTGTATATTGTTTATGAGCATAAAATAGTATGGGCTAGGAACTATAAGTGCTGAAAATATTGTATGTATGTATCCATTATACAAACAAAAACGAAAGTACTTTGATAATCTTGATAGCATTCTGGATACAATACCTTATTTAACCAAGTGCCTACAAATGAAGAATTCTAGGTATATTTTAATTTTTCCTCCAATGAAGTTAATTTTAAGTTACAACTAGAATCCTTTGACTTCCTTAAAATGATGTTGCTCTTCCAGAAACAGTTAACAATGAATCAGTGCCCAGACAGACTTTTAAAGGTATAATTAGACAGCTGAAAACAGATTAAACGAGGAACAGAACACTTGCTTTCGTGCTTGCTAACAGTGAATCTCAGTTTCCTCATCTCATCTAACAGAATAAGTATTAACTACTTCATAAGATTGTTGAAAGAACTCAGTATACGATGGTGTCTGGCACACACAAGAAGACTTAATAAATGATGATGAGAAAACTCAAGTGTAAAATTCAGTGAAAAGTAGGAGTGCATATTTTGTTTATGTAGCAGTTACTTAGTAATTGCTTTAGTTTTAGAGTTCTAAGCATTTCAGTTTTTAGTGGTATTTTGGCAATTCTGTTAACTCTTGAAGTATTAAAAATAGTGTCTCTTTCCACTGTGGAATGCGTATTTGCCTGAAACAGTTGGGTTGACTATAGGACAATGTCTGTCTTAATCCACAGATGTGCTTTGAGTGGTTTACAAAAGGACAGCATGATCTTGAGAGTGACGTTCAGCAGCAGCTCTTCAAGGAGAAAATTCTGAAATTGGAGTCCTATGAAATCACTATGAATGGTAGGAAAAAACTTAAAACTTTTGCTTTACTTCTTATTCTTCCCTATCTTTGTAAGCTTATTTCTTAGAAGCAACCAGTTACTTTGATACATCCTTGTAGAATTTTCCCTGTACTCATAGACAGACATATACACAAATAAATTACTTTTTGCATAAGTGATATCTTATAATTAAACATAGCCTGATAGATGAAATTGCCTTTTTGAAATTTTCTTAGTACAGGGTTATTATAATAAAACTTTATCAAAGTATAGAACTCTTCAGTTTTTAAAGTGTAGAATGAGTAGCTGTGAGTATATTCACAAAGTTGTGTGACCTTCACTTCTGTGTAATCCTTGAACATGCTTACCACTCCAGAAGGAAGCTCTCTACCCATTGGCAGTCACTTTATTTCTTGCCTCAGCTCTCACCTATTTTTTTATAGATCAGCCTACTGTGGACATTTGATATAGGTGGAAGCTTTGCTTCCATTCTTTCCATTTTTACTTTTTTTTTCGTCCCTTTCTTCCTTTCTCCTTCCTTGTTCCCTTTCCCATTTGAACATTTTCTTCCCATTTCCCAATTATCTATTATACACTTTAGTCCTTATTTCCACTTTCAGTTTCTCACACCAGAGAAACAATGCAGTATTGATAGGGTTCTTTGAAGCATAAAAGTTAGTTGATTAGTTCCAGCTTACCTTTATGCTCTTTTGCTTCTTATACTTATTGGTTTGGTTTGGTTTGTTTGTATTTTAGGTGGGATCTTGCTTTGGTGTTCAGGCTAGTCTTGAACTGCTGACTCCTGGGCTCAAGCGACCTTCCCACCTCAACTTTCCAAATAGCTGGGTCTGCAGGCACGTGTCACTGTGCCTGGCTGTTTGTGCTTTCAATACTTTAGCTCTTTTTTTTTTTTTTGGTTCCAGGGATCGAACTCAGGTCCTTATGCTTGCGAGGCAGGCACCTGAACCACTGAGCTAAATCCCAGGCCCTGCTTTCAATACTTTGTAGCTAAGAAATTATAGTGAAGAGTTTTATGTTTTTGCCTTCTAATCTGTTTTTATTCTTTTCATTATGTGTGTATAAATTTTATCATTTTATAATTTCAGGTTTTAACTTATTTAAAACTTTTTTTGAAAATGTGAATCTCTGTGATCATCGATTAAAAAGACAAGGAGCTCAGTTGGTAAGTACATTATTCTATTATTGAGATACTTTGGATTATCTTGTAAAACTGTATTCTGAAAAAATATGTGTGTATTAATTGAGCGAAAACATGAATTTTTTTTTTTTTTAAGATGGAGCTCTCTGGGCCAGGGATTTAGCTTTTGCCTTGCCAGCTCAAGGACCTGAGTTTGATCCCCGGTACCAAAAAAAAATGAAACTAGGATTAGAAGTCCCATTTGACCCAGCTGTTCCCCTACTGGCTATCTAAAAAGGGCTGGGGATTTAGCTCAGTGGTTCTGGTGCCTGCCTCACAAGTGCAAGGACCTAAGTTCAATCCCCGGTACCAAAAAAAAAAAAAGACGGAGCTCTCTGCCTTGAAGGCAAAGCCTATCCTCAAGTGCGATGAAGGCTCTCTGTCCCCACTTCTGCACTCCTCAGCCACGTAGGCTGTTGCTACTCTGCTCACTTATCCCACCACTGTCTTGGCATCTTGCTTAGCTGGGGCAGCTGTAGGCTCCTATGGCTAGATGAATTTGGAAGAGAGGCTTTACTCCTGAGATCCAGCAATTCACATGTGCCTAAACAAGAGGTAGAATCTTCATTCTGATGATCTCAGTGGCAGGGATTAAAGAAAAAAAATGTAGGAACAGACAATGAAACAGGAAAATGGGGGTCTATAGAATGTTTATAGTTTATAGCTATGTTTACATGTGGCCTTTAAAAAAGAAAGGTTAAAAACTTTTTTTTCAATTTAAGTCCCTTTTATTCATATGCTGGCTTCCTGGGATGGTAAAGATATTTATAAAATCTTACAATTGCTACTTATAACTGAGCATTTGGAAAACCAGATTAAGCCCCAAGAATGAGTAATCACTTGTAGGTTGACTTTGTTTGTTTGTTTGTTTGTTTGAGGAAAAGCTCATAAAGATGGTGTCCATCTTACTCTTGAGCTGTTTCAATAGCTTATGTGAGTAACGTCCAGCTGGGTTTCAGGAATGTTTGGAAAAATGTGTGTCTTTCTCCTGGTTCCCATAGAAGTTACACATTGTTTCTGTGGTTGATTTTTTTTTTAAAGTTCCGTGTCAGTACACAGTATTTTCTGCAGTTTTAATTCATACTGACCCAAAGAGGTGCAGGCTCATTTTTTTTTTTTTTTTTTTTTTTTTTTTTTTTTTTTTGGTACCAGGGATTAAACTCGGGTCCTTGGACTTGCAAGGCAGGCCACCGAACCACTGAGCTAAATCCCTGGCCCTTTCTGTAATTTTGTATCCCCAATGTACTGTATAATTTGTATGTAATTTTAACTTTTCTCTTTTGAACAGTATGTAGAAAAGCTGGAATTAATAGGAATGGATTTCATTTGGAAAATAGCCATGGAATCACCTGATGAAGAAATTGCTAATGAAGCTATTCAGTTAATAATAAATTATAGTTACATTAATCTAAATCCTAGGTTAAAGAAGGTGAGTATCCAAGAAAAGAAGTTACTCAGACAAAAAAGCAGAAATTTATGTATATTTTATTAATAGATTATGATCCTCGGCATGCCCCCAAACTGTTTATTTTGATGTTTTGTCCTTAATAATGATAATAACTGAATGCCAAAACGTAATGTAAATTTCCATATACTTCTTATTTTTAGGACTCGGTATCTTTACATAAGAAATTCATTGCTGACTGCTACACAAGACTAGAAGTGAGTAGCGAATTTTGTTAACCTGTCTTTGAATTGAATTTTTTTCTCCTTTGATACTTTTATATTTTTAGGTAATATATAATGCTGATGTTTATAGCTAGATCCTATCGAATTTGTTGAGTACCTTGTTGAAGCGCAGAGAACAGATTTTGTCCATGATAGCCCTGATACAGAAATATACTAAGAAATTGTTCCTTTTCTTTACCACCTCTCTGTCCCATACCACCCACTTCCCTTTTGGAAGAAAACAGGACTGCTATTCATTCTACCTTTTTAATAGTCTTTTTTTTTTCCTTTTTCTGTCCAGGAACTTTATGTAAGCACTTGGCTTTCATTCTTACCCTTCACATTTCTCATAATTTATACAATAAATGCTATTAAAGAGCACATCAGGACTCTCAGTTGTAGGTGGTATTGGTTGTATTTGTCCATTAAAAACCTGCTGTTTAATATTATCTCGTATGTATTTCTAATACCTTATTTCCAAAAAGCACCAAGCATTCATTTTTACTGGAAATTTGTGCTTAACTTTTGTATCTAATAATGAGTGTTCCAAAAACGTAAAGTGCTACTGACCCCAAATGTCAACAAGTTAATCTGCCTAGTGATCAGCATGTGCTATAATCTCTACAGTATTTCCTATCCAAATATACCATTAAAAAACTTTATTCAAGTTCCTTTATACGAGGTATTGTGTAAGTTTTAACAGATGTAGAGCAGTGGTCCTCCTCTGGGTCTTTATTTTGTCTCTTGGGGTCATGTGGTGATGTTTAGAGATGTTTTTTACTATCATTACTAGAAAGGGTCCAGGTGTTTATTAGTGTATAAAGTTCAGAGATCGTGCTGAATGACCTCCAATTCAGATGAATGTTGATTTATTTTATAGGCAGCCAGTTCAGCTCTTGGTGGCCCCACTCTAACACACGCTGTGACCAGAGCCACAAAAATGCTTACAGCAACTGCCATGCCAACTGTAGCAACATCAGTTCAGTCCCCATATAGGTAAGTGATTACAGAAGTAAAAACAAATACACAGCACATAAATAGATACCAGGTTTTTAAAAAAATTGTTATTTTTTTCTCTGGATGTCTTAATTATTGGCTTCCTCATATTATGTAATAGTGTTTCCTAATAGTCATATTCTGAGGAATTATATTTTCTATATCATATACCTCCAAATCCGTATCTTGACAATCTGTAGGCCATTGCCAGAAACACCCAAGCGTAGCTGTGGCTCTACCCACCTGCCTTGTGGACAGGTTCTGTTGTTGTGAAGGTGAAGCTCTCCTTATGTTGCCCAGGCTGGTGGGAAGCTCCTGGCCTCAACTGACCCTCCTGCCTTAGTTTCTTGAGGAGCCAGGATTATAGACACATACTACTGTGCCTAGCTAATTGGTGCTTTTATGTATTTCACAGTATTTTTATTCCCTGTAACATGAGTAATATGTTTAGGTGGAATAAAGATATATTCAATGTACAAATATGTATTTTATTACATATATAATATTATCTAATAAAATATTTCCTCACCAATAACTTTTTATCTTTGGTCAAATCTAGGGCATTGATGAGGTAAGCAAAATAGAGTGGAAGATGGTGATTGGTTAAAAATCATGTATGTAATGTAATGATAGTCAATTAAAGTACTTATTCTATATGTTTGTGTTAAAACTTTGAGGTCACATTGCTATGATTAAGCTTTCAGCTATTACCAGCAAAATCTGAATTAAATATTTGCTGAGTTCTTTAAAATAGTAAGAAACAATGTGTACTTAGAAACATAAGGCTGAAGTAATTAACATACTTTAGTGGGGTTTTAGGAACCTTTCAAGACTGGTAAACAGCTCCACATCATTGATACCTGGGATCCTGGTGTGGGCTCACCAAATGGATTTGCCCTCCATGCCACACGCTGCTTGCCCTCTGGTGATGGGTCCTTGCATAGTCAGTCTGTCTGTCTTCCCCTTCCCCTTCCCCTTTCCTTTTGTACTGGGGATCGAACTTGGGTCCTTGCGCTTGCGAGGCAGGCTCCAGAACCACTGAGCTAAATCCCCAGCCCTGCATAGTCATTCTTTACTCCTGGAACACTTTGTGTATTTTTTATTCACTATTGGGGATACTGTTTTTCTTTTCAAAACCTTCCTTTAAAAGGGTAATCAAAGCAATATCCTTGCCCATATTCTCTTTTTTTGTTATCTTTTTCTAAATGAGTTAATACTGTATAGCTGTACTTTTGACTACACAGAAAAACACGTAATTTTAAAGCCTTATTATAAACTCTTAAGTAGATGCTAACAATGTATAATTTCAAAGTTGAATTTGAACTGAAATGTAGCTTATCTCATTTTGCTAGTTTTGAAAGAACTTTTCAGTATGCATAATTGTTCTAGAGGGATGTGTTATTTTATCTTTATAATATTTTGCAATATAAACTGTGATATAATTATTGAGACATGATTAAAGCTGTTCACAAATTATCGCATTTGATTTTATTTGAATATCAAGCTTTCAGTTCTTGCCCATAAACTGGAAAAATTTAGAATTTACATTTAATAGAACTGTTAAAATGTGTTAACCAACTGTTTTTAAAGTAAAATTTCTAGGAGCCAGGTGTAGTGTCTCACACCTGTAATTCCAGCTCTGGGGAGGCCAGAGCAGGAGAGTCATCACAAGTTCAAAGCCAACCTGGACTACATAGTGAGAACTTGCCTCAAAAAACAAACAAATGGGAAAAAAAGAGAAGAAATTTCCAGGACTGCTAATTGGAAAACTTAGTCCAGTTATTGGAGAGTGGTAGTATCAGTATCGTTCTTTAATTTTAGAAATAGGCCTATTTGAAATATGCAGACTTTCTGGAATAATAACCACTTATATTAACGGCACTTGAATTTTGTTTATTAATGTTAGTATGTATGGTGTTTTCTTTAATGATGTATAAAGCTGTGACCTATTAGCTGTAGAATACTGCAGTGCTGTTATTTCAAATGAGTTGAATATTACAGTGCTATTACTTCAACTAAAAGAGACCTCAGATTTCATCTTCAAATTTCAATTTTTATGTGTGGCAGTTCAAGACTTTGTCAGCTTTCATATATTTACAGTTTTGTGGCATTTTTTAATTGTAAAATTATGAGAGTCAAACTCTGATTGTTCATTATCGGAGGACTGATGGACAGTTAGGCCTGGAGGTCCAGTATATGGAACATCTGGTTAAATTAAAGGAGGAAGAACCAGGCGTGGTGGCGCATGCTGTAGTCCCTGCACTCAGGGGGCTAAAGCAGACAGGTTGCCACGAGTTTGAGGCCAGCCTGGGCTACAAAGCAAGACCCTGTCTCAAAAAATCAAAATAATAATGATAATAACAATAATATTATAAGGAAAGAAAAAGGAAATGTGGGAAGGTGCTGCATCTGTATGCTATAGTGTGAGTAGATTGAACCACCTCCTCACTGAGTGAAAGAGAAGTTTAATCTTCTCAGGTTCCAGTCCTAGACCAGTGAGCACTGTCTGTGGTTTGTGTGAAATCAGATTAGAATTGAGCTCAAGCCAGCAATTCATTCCAAATACATTTAATTTTTTTTTTAATCCATAGGTCCACCAAACTTGTAATAATTGAGAGATTGCTACTTCTGGCAGAACGCTATGTGATCACTATAGAGGTAGGCCTCTCCCTCTAAGGCAGCTTTATGATACTAGTAGATTAAGGTGTAAGTGTGTATTTCTGACATGTTTAGTAACACACTGTACACCTGACTTGTTTGGCTTTTACCTTTTTCAAGGATTTTTACTCTGTTCCACGAACAATTCTACCTCATGGTGCCTCGTTTCATGGACATCTTTTAACTCTTAATGTTACCTATGAGTCTACCAAAGATACATTCACTGTAGAGGTAGGTTTACTCTAAGCTCTGTAGCCATGTTCATTGTCTTGTTACTTTCATAAGAGTGTTGATGGAGAGAGGCACATGAATGATGATTTTTAAAGCTATTTGATAAACAGATTTAGAATAAAGACCTGAAATGATGGGAAACTAGGGGGTACAGGCAGATATGTAAATACATATAAATATATAATGCTAAGTAGTGGTAAGTGTTATAAGGAGTAAGAATAAAGCAGGCTAAGTTGGTAGGAAGTAATGGGTATGCATGAGATATTATTTAAAGATAGACTGGGAAAGTCTCTGAGGTGACATTTGAGCAGACTTGATGACAGAGTAAATGATAATTCTTTAGAAGAGAGATTTGAGCAAAAGGAGCAGCACACAGGTACAAAGGGTAGGCAGGTGGCTGTGTGGGTAGACTACAGTGAGCAGGGCAGAGTGCAAGGTGCTGTGGTGGAGGGTCGGATTTTACTCTACATAGGATGGTAAGGATGGAGTGTGGACTTAGAGCAGGAGAGAAGTCTTACAGGAGCAAAGTTCTTTGCTGTGGGTTGCTTCTCTGCTCCGTTCCCAGCTTCTAGTTCTAGAAGGGGGCCCAGTGCATAGTACAAGCTATCAGTTATTTAAAAGGAACCAGTCATTGATTTCTCAACAGCAGTGCTGTACTTTCTTTTACAGGCCCACAGTAATGAAACTATAGGGAGTGTGCGGTGGAAGATAGCCAAGCAGTTGTGCTCTCCTGTGGATAATATTCAGATATTTACAAATGATAGCCTGGTAGGTTAAATAGCAGTTTTTGGCACTTAGCCTGCTGTGAATGCTTTTATCTTTTTCCTCTCAGTAATTTTGAAACCATTTTTTGCAGTTGACAGTGAATAAAGACCAAAAGCTGCTCCACCAGCTGGGCTTTTCTGATGAGCAGGTCCTTACAGTGAAGACCTCTGGCAGCGGAACCCCCTCTGGGAGCTCAGCAGATTCTTCAACCAGCTCCAGTAGCAGCAGCAGTGGAGTCTTTAGTTCATCATATGCCATGGAGCAGGTACTGAGTGATTGATTCACTTTACAAACAGGAGTGTAACAGTTAGTATCTTTAGCTTTAGCCCATACAGGTTTAGGCGATTCTGCCCCTTTCTGTCTGTTTCTGACTCTTCAGGACATGTAACTGAGAACTTCTAGGATTCCTCTGGGAGAAGATATGTAACTTACCAGTCGTCTGAGTTTCAAAGCCTTCAGAAGCCAAAGCCATTCTGCCTGTCCACTCACTGTGCTCATACATCTCTCTTGACCAATTACTTGACTTTCCCTCTCTACTGAGTCATCCCCTTAGCAATCAAACATACTGGTTATGTCTGCTCTCTTTAAAAAAAAACAAAAAAACAAAAAAAAAACCCTTCACCTCATTTGTTCAATTATTGACCTATTCTTTCCTTTACAAATCAACACAGTTCCTTAAAAGTTGTCTAAACTTGTTTCTTTTTCTCATCCTCTCTTAAAAAAGGCTCTTTTCAGGTTATCTCTTCCCCTCCTTGGTCCTGTTTTGTTTTTGTTTTTCTGGGTTTGTTTGTTTGTTTGCTTGTTTTTTGAGACTTTGTCTCACTATGTAGTTCAGGCTGACCTTGATTGAACTCACTATGTGGCCCAGGCTGGCCTCAAACTCTTGATGGTCTCACTGCTTCAGCCTCCTGATTGCTGGCATTACAGGTGTGCATCTCCACGCACCTTGATGTTTCAGCAGAATTGATGTGTGTAGTTACTTCCCATTGATCTGCTTTTTTCTCTTTTCAGGACTCACCCAATTCCCCTGCTTCTCTGCTCTTCTTTTGTCTGTCGCTAGTTTCTCTTCATCTCCTTGATTTCTGTTCAGAGGGATTTTCTACCCCAGTCAGTGCTTGTACAACTCTTGTTTCTTTGTTCATTCCTTTGATAATGTCATCCAGTCTTAAAACTCTACAGACCATATAAACATGACTCCGTAACTCCTCAGTTTGTCTCCAGCCTAACGTGGGCACATAGATCCATCCACTTATGGAACATCTCTTAAAAGCTCACTAGACACCCCAAGCGTAGACATCCAAAGCTGAGCTCCTGATCACCCCTTTCTCACACCTTGCTCCTGCCCAAATTCTCTTAATTCCATAACCTTGCCTGTATCTCAGGTGGTGTCTCCATTCTTCTAGTTGCTTATGACATAGTCCTAGGATTGCTCTTTTCTATCAAAACCATATCCAAAAGCGAATCCAGGAGTTTTCTTTGCCTCCACAACTTCCTGGTCTGCCAGCCTTCATCCCACACCTGAGAGTTTCAGCTGCTCTCAACTCCTGCCTGTAGCCTGTGACTTTTGTCTGTCAGACTTCCAGCAGCCCACGGCCTGACAAGTCAGAGTATGCTGCTCCGCTCCCTCCCTCCACTTACTCAGATGAAGAGTCAGAGTCTTTATTAGGATCTTTACCTCCCTGAGTTGCCGCCCTCAAACTTCACTGAGGCCCACTGCAATGGCCCTGCCCTCACTCATTCCAGCCAGTGGCACTGCCCACTGTTGGTACTGAGAGCAAGGCCTGCAAACACTTGCTCTTCCTGCACACACACGTGCCTTCCCAGGGGCCTCAGGCTTTCCCTCACCTGCCTTCTCAGTGAGCGTCTCTGACAACACTGTCTGGAATTCCAACCCTATTCCTGTTTCCACACTCTGCACTTTCCTTCCCTACCTTGTTTTTTCTTTAACATAAAATTTATTGATCTTGTTTTTCCACAAAAACAGATTTCTGTGGGTTTTTTGTTCACTGCCTCCTCCCCAGCACCTCAGCAGTGCCTGGCACACTGTGGGTACTGAGTCAGGTCTTGATTAGCTTCATGAGTCAGTGTGTCTGTTTATTTTGTGCTTTTCTGTGTCAGAACTGAGCTGGCTCCAGGGTGCAAAGCTAAATGAGACATTCTGCTCTTTGGGCTTTTACTATCTAGAGAGCAAGCTCATGTGAAGGAAAGTTATATATGTCTTTAATTTTAAATGTAAGGTCTTCCTGTGACTGTATTGTTCTAATTTACAGCATAAGCTTTATATGATACCAAAGAGCTTTTCAGGGTTAGTAGGAGTGTTGTGGGGTTCACTCATACAGCAAGGCCCTAACTTAGGAACACTTGAGTTGCAGACTTCCACAGGTGTGCTGTGTAAGACTCACCATCAGCTCAGGAACAAATCTGACATGTTTCTCCCAGAATGGAGCTCATTCGTAAGTCAGGGACTCTGTGTATCTAAATCTCAGGGGTATTATGACAGTTCATTAACAAAAATAGTATATGTAGCCTCTTCAAGCTTTATATTTTTAAACTTCAAATTTTACATTTTAGATTATAATATTTATCATGTATTTATTAAAAATCTGCCCACATATAAGTATGTACTATGATATATAGTTTTTTATTCCTTAGAGCCAGAAAATAGCTTGTTAATCACATCTTCACCTCTATAGTTACATCCACTTTGTCTTTTCCGATCTTTAGGAGCAGCCTCTTGGTTTCGTGTGCCTCTATGTCTGTGTGAATGTGTATACACTACTTTAACTGTGCTTCTGAGTCAGTTGTGATCCATTTGGCTGCAGACAAGCTGTGCTTAGCTGTCAGAGTGCCTCCTGTGCACTGCCTGTCTTACCTGTGCCCCTTCACAAGCAGCTCTGTGCTCCTCCGTCCACTGAGCACTGTGCTCCCCCCAAGCTTCACAGTGGCTAACCTTTCAGAACTAATAATTTTGTGATATGTTTGACAGAAAAAGAGCAGATTCTTTTTGTAGATGTATATTTCTATTTTGCTTTTTTCCCTCAGGAGAAATCTCTCCCTGGTGTGGTAATGGCTCTCGTATGCAATGTGTTTGATATGCTTTACCAGCTTGCCAACCTAGAGGAGCCAAGGTACGTGGAAATATTTGTGGGGCTTGAGAGAGAAACCTACTAAGGTTAAAGAAGCATGTAACATGTCACTTCAGATGTATATTACTTTATGTTTCATACTAAAAGATGCTGTTGCTGAAACTGGCTTATTGAAACAAAATTTATGTTTGAAAATTTTCAGGATAACTCTGCGAGTACGAAAACTTCTGCTCTTGATACCCACTGATCCAGCTATTCAGGAAGCCCTTGATCAACTCGATTCTTTAGGCAGAAAGGTATGTGTATCTCCAGTGGTTATTTAACCTGCCTGTGAATTTCATATTGTGAGTCCGAAAGCAGAAGCTGAACGCACATTAAGCCCACATGCTAGTATCGTTCCCATATTTTTTCTTTCAAAAAATACCTTTGCTGTAAGTGGAATTCAGAACTTCATGCAGGCTTTTAAAGCATCCAGAGAGAGGCAGTAATGACACCAAATTGAGGAACAGGAAGAGCCTCTAATGTTATCTCCTCCCTGCTTATGGTGTACATTAGGAAGCAAGCCCACAGAGACGAGTTACTTGTCCAGAAGCAGACTCTAGTTCTGATTCAGTTGAGATGTTTTTCATCGGTACTAAGCCTCTAATTGTTGCATGTCTGAGTTATTTCTAAGAATGGATGATCATTTTTTCTTCATAAGTGATAAAGTTCATTTTAATTCTTAGAATATTATTCCTTAAGAGATATATGTAGAGAGAAACTATTTTATCTGTCATATTGTTTAATTAAACTCTGAATTAATTTACAACAAAGTTGTTAGAACTGATTTTTCTATTTTAATGGTTACAATTTAGATCATCTCAATATGTCATCTGTGGCTAGGTACTAATTTGAGAAAGAAGGGAAATAATGTAATTATAAAATACATCACTGGTATTAGCTAAAAAGAAATTCTCAAAACTACTACTTTAGCAGTCTTGTAATTTTTGTATCAGTATCTAGAAGTGTACAGGTTTTATGTACAGAAACAAATTAAAATGACCTTACTGGTGGTGTTAAACATGAATTATCAAAAGCATATAGTATCTGAATATCATGCAACACTTAACATTTGAATGATGAAGTTTGATGTTGATCATTAGTGAAACACTTTTATGAAGATAATTTTTCAGAAAATTTCATTGATGTGGCTTGAAGAGGAAAAGAACATGAAAATGTGGATTAAAATCTATTTGCTTTTAAGGCGTACATTTCTTTTTTTTTCATTCTTTTAAACTTAGAAAACGTTGTTGTCTGAATCAAGCTCTCAGTCTTCAAAATCTCCGTCCCTCTCTTCAAAACAGCAGCATCAGCCAAGTGCCAGTTCCATCTTAGAAAGTCTGTTTCGATCTTTTGCTCCAGGAATGTCCACCTTTAGAGTGCTCTACAACTTGGAAGTAAGAAACTTTGTTTCTTTCTATTTCATTTTGACAGATCCATTTTGGTTTGCAGATTCATGTTTTCAGATGCCAGAAATTAGTAGAGGTTTCTTTTACAGTATTATGTGATGATCTCTTAGAAAGTGAATTTTGAAAAAAGCTAGAAAAATTTTTTTCCTTTGACAGTTTTACAGATCTGTATTTCCAACTTTCTTGATTAACTACATCCTAATTTTTAAAAAAAAATCTATTAGAGTTTTCTGGCACTAGTCAAGATTTATAAAAATTTTACCAGGAAACACATTAACATTATCATTTCAAGGCTTAAAAAAGTTACTAAGAGAACTAAAGCAAACTTATTTTTAGATTACAATCTTTCTTAGTCTATTCAGAATGCTGTAATAGATGCTGTAGACTTAAACAGAAGCTTAAACAACAAACATTCATTGCTCACAGTTTCAGGGGCTGGAAAGTCCTAGATCGAGTTATTCAGTGTCTTCTGTGGGCCCTTTCTGGTCAGAGCAGCTATGTTCTCACTGTGTCCTCACTTGGTATGAAGGGGGCAACTGAGCTCTCTGGGGATCTCTTATATAAGTGCATTGTTCCCATTCATGAAAGTTTTCATCTACGTGACCTCATCATCTCTCAAAAGCTCCAATCCCAAGTACAATGTAACGTTGAGGATTAGAATTTCAAAATTGGAATTTTGGAGGGGACAGTCATTCAGTCCATTGTGATTCCCCTCCTCCCTGAAAGTAGATATAGATTAACAGATTTAATTCAGTAAATATTTACACAGCAAGCAAGAAAGCAGTGTTAATGTTTACTGTGTGCAAGTTATTATGATCATTAAAGGGTCAGAGTTGAAAGTAATCTTAGGAGTAAGACATAGGAGAGGCTGGATACACCATATCTAGAGAGGAAAGCATGCACAAAATGGAAAAGTGACCAACTGCAAACATTTCTGCTTGTAGAGAGTGACAGCTCAGATCCTTGTGTTGCATCATGTGTGTAGAAAATAAAGCCCTGTAGGAATTTGCTTTGTCCAAGGGAGTTAATATCCAGGAGGCAGTTATGTAAGTTATGTATTAAAGAAGCCACATAAGTGGTTAAGTAACAGCCCTACATAGTTGGGCTTGATTAGATTTAACGGTGTCATGTAGCATGTGTTTCAAGTAGGTTTCAGGTTACAGCAAAAGTCATAATTCGTAAAGGGGTACTTGCAATTTTTTTTTACTTTTTAATTTTATCTGAGTCATTCATTAATAATATGCAATTCATCTTTCTGTTCCTTATTGCTTCTTTTATGTTCAAACAGTGATTACATTTCATTTTGCCTTAACATTATCATTTTTTTAATTGAGTTTATTGGTACATTTTAGGGATACAGTACAGTTACATTCATTGTTGGGATCTTGTACCTCTACATGACAGGTCTTGGTTCTCATTTTTTCCCCTTGTCCCTGCCCTCCCTTCACCTGCTCCTCCCCTCCCCATGTACAAACACTTTATTTCCATCTTTTCATTTTTTCACATTTTTTTCTTTTCCCTTATTACCCTTCCCCTACCCATCCCACCTTCCCTACACCTTTAACCCTTTTCTCCCCATTTCACAATGTCAGTTATCTCATTAGGATCTTATGTACTATTACAGTTTATTCATACCAGAGAAACTATTCGGTATTTACACATGTGTGACTTATTTATTTCACTAGGAGTATATCCTCAATATGTATCCATTTTCCTATGAATGAATTTAATTTCTCATTCTTTATGGCTGAGTAATATTCCATTTTATAGAAAAACCACATCTTCTTTATCCAGTTTCCAACTAATGGGCAAATGGGCTGTTTCCAAGTTTTAACTATTACAAACTGTGCCGCTATAAACATGGGTGCGCATATATCACTGTGGTATGTTTCTTTTAGTTCTTTTGGAAAGATACCCAGCAGAGGGATGGCTGGGTCAAATGGAAGCTCTAGTCCCAGCTCTTGGCAGTATCTCCATATTGATTCCCATAGTGTTTGCACCAGTCCGCACTCCCACCAACAATGGAGAAGGGTTCCTTTCTCCCCACAACCCCGCCAACATTTGTTATTGTTTGATTTCTTGATAGTAGCCATTCTTTTTGGCATGAGGTGGAATCTCAGTGTTGTTTTCATCTGCATCTCTCGAATGACCAGTGATGTGGAACATTTTTTCATATATTTACTTGTTGCTTTTACTTCTTTGAGAAATGTCTGTTAATTTCAGATGCCCATTTTTGAATTGGATCTTTATTTGGGGGGGCTGATTGTTTTGAGTTCTTCATATATTCTAGATAATAGTCCTTTGAGGAGCAGCTGGTAAAAATTTTTCCCACATTGTCGGTTGTCTCTTAGTTCTGTTGATGGTTTCTTTTACAGTGCAGAAGCTTTTTAATAAGATGAGATCCCAGTTGTTGATTCTTTCTGCTAGTTCCTGTGCTATTGAGGATTTGTTCATAAAATCTTTTCCTATGCCAATGTCTTCAAGAGTTCTTATCTTCCAGCAAGTTTAGTGTTTCCGTTTTAATATTTAGATCTTTCATCCACTTGGATTTTAATTTAGTGCATGATGAAACATAAGAGTCCAGTTTTAATCTTTGGCAGGTTGAAATCCAGTTTTTCCAACACCATTAATTAAAGAGGCTATCTTTCCTCCATTGAGGATGGTCAGCTCCTTTGTCAAAGATGAGATAGCTGAGTACATCTGGATTTGTTTTTGTGTCTTCCAATCTGTTCCACTGATCCTCAGATCTGTTTCTTTGCCAGTACCATGCTGTTTTTATCACAGTGGCTTTGTAGTATAGTTTCAAATTGGGAATTGTTATACACGCTACCATGTTTCTTTTTCCTAGAATGGCTTTTGCTATTCTAGGTCTCTTATGGTTCCAAATGAATTTTTGGATTCTTTTTTCTATTTCTGTGAAATATAGTGTTGGAATTTCAATTGGCATTACATTGAATCTGTATAGCAGTTTTGATAGTATGGCCATTTTCACTATGTTGATTGTTCCTACCCAGGAGCAGGGGATATCTTTCCATTTTCTTATATCCTCTTCAATTTCTTTTTTCAGAGTGCTGTAGTTTTCAGTGTAGAGGTCTTTTGCTTCTTTTGTTAGATTGATTCCTAGATACTTCATTTTTTTGGATGCTATTGTGAGAGGAATTGTTTCCCTAATTTCTCTCTCAGTGAGTCTGTTATTTGTGTACAAGAAGGCTATTGATTTTTGGGTGTTCACATTGGATCCAGGTACTCTTAACTGAATCTGTCAATTAAGTCTAGAAGTCTTTTGGTGGAGTTTTTTGGGTCTTCAATGTAGAGTATCATATCATTAGCAAATAATGACAATTTAACTTCTTCCTTTCCTATCTTTATTGCTTTAATTTCTTTCTCTTGTCTAATTGCTGTTGCTAATGTTTCCAGAACTATATTGAAGAAGAGTGGTGATAGTGGGCATCCTTGTCTCGTTCCTGATTTTAACATGAAAGTTTTCAGTTTTTGGCCATTTAATATGATGTTGGCTGTTGGTTTTTCATAGATAGCCTTTATTAAGTTGAGATATAGACCATCTATTCCCATTTTTTGCAGGGTTTTTATCATGAATGGGTGTTGAATTTTGTCAAATGCTTTTTCTGCATTTATCGAGAGGATCATATGGTTTTTGTCTTCGACTTTGTTAATATAGTGTATTACATTTATTGACTTACGTATGTTGAACCATCCTTGTATCCATGGAATAAATCTGACTTGGTCAGGAATTATGATCTCCTTGATGATCCTCTGTATTCTGTTTGCTAGTATCTTATTAAGGATTTTTGCATCTATATTCATTAAGGAGATTGGCCTGTAGTTCTCTATTTAGTTGCGTCTTTCCCTGAAGAGTAATGGCAGTAGTTCTTCTCTAAATGTCTTGTAAAATTTGGCAGAATCCATCAGGACCTGGGCTTTTCTTTGTTGGTAAATTTTTAATTACATTTTCAATTTCACTGACTGTAATTGGGGTGTTTAAAATGTTTTATCTTCTTTGTTCAACTTTATTCATTAGTATCTAAAAAAATCTGTCCATTCTGTGTTTTCCAATTTATTGGAGTACAGGTTCTCAAAGTAGGTATTAATGATCCTCTGGATTTCTGTTGGATCTGTTGTGACTTTGCCTTTTTCATTCCTGATTGCATGGATCTGAGCCTTCTCTTTCCTTTTTTTGATAAGATTAGCTAAAGGTTTATGGATTTTATTTATTCTTTCAAAAAATTAACTCTTTGTTTCATTTATTTTTTGTATCGTTTTCTTAGTTTCCATTGCATTGATTTCTGCTCTAATCTTTATAATTTCCTTTCTTGTTCGAGCTTTGGGTTTTTCTTGCTCTTGTTTTTCTAGGAGTCTAAGATTCATCATTAAATTGTTTATTTGAGCTTGTTCTGTTTTCCTAGTGTGGGCATTCAGTGCTATGAATTTTCCACATAGAACTGCTTTCATTGTGTCCCACAGATTCCTGTATGTTGTATTGGCATTTTCATTTATTTGTAAAAACTGATTTTTTCTTTAATTTCCTCTGTGATCCATTGATTGTTCAGGAGAGTGTTATTCTATTTGCATGTGTTTGTGAAGCTCCTACAGTTTCTTGTGCTATTGATCTCCAGCTTGATTACACTATGATCTGATAATATACAGGCAATAACTTCTATTCTTTTGCATTTATTCAGACCTGTTCTTTGAGCTAGTATGTGCTAAGTCCTCAACCCCCTTAGTTATTTTTAAATGCTTATCTTGTCCTTTGTAGTGTTTCATTTTTAGCAACTTGTATTTTGAGAATGGATATCTTTTTGAGAAGTCTTTTTTTTAATAATTTTTCTTTTTTTTCCTCATTGAGTTTATTGGTACATTTTAGGGATACAGTACAGTTACATTCATTGTTGGGATCTTGTACCTTTACATGGCAAGTCTTGGTTCTCATTTTTTCCCCTTGTCCCTGCCCTCCCTTCAGCCCCCCCATCTACAATCACTTTATTTCCATCTTTTCATTATCTCACATTTATTTTCCTCTTTTTCCCCTTCCCTTACCCATCCCACCTTCCCTACACCTTTAGCTCCTTTCTAACCCTTACTGTTTTTAAGAGGCCTCTCTTTTCACGGTCACTGACTGCAATCCTATCTTCTACATCTGAAATTCTATCTTCTCAATCTTTTATTCTGTTGCGTACAGTTTCAGTAGAGTTTTTAATCTCCTGGATATCTGTTTGAATCTGTTTTATGGATTCCATTTCTTTCCTCTGTTGGACATTCGTTGTTTCCATTTCTTTCTTATGCTGGGCCTTCATGGCTTCTATCATGGTTCTGAACTCATCTATTTTTTTTTTTCTCAGTTTCTGTTCTAGAGTCTCAAGTCATGACTTCCATTTTGCTCACCATCTCTATGGTTATCTGGGAAATTATTTCTGTTTTGAATTTTTGTAGAGCCTGATTTATCTGTTTTGTTACTTCCTGTGCTATGGGTTCAGGATGTCCTGCTGGTTCACTATCAGACTTTTTATCCTCATTTGCCCTACTGTTTGCCATTGGTGAACTGGAAGTCTGTCTTTGTGTCTTGCTTAAGTGTTTTCTCATTTTTATTTTTGTTGTTGGGTTGTCCTTGGTTTAATTTCTGGGTTATTACTTAAATCTTCCTGATATAGTTGTGCTTTAGCTTTTGAGTCTCTAATGACTCATAGACATTCTCATTTTTATAATATCAAAGAAAACAACTCATTAAATCAGTCACAATCCTTTATCCCAATTGATACATTCAGCAGCACAATAGGATCAAGCACAACTTGCAAATTGACCACTTGTGATAGTCATTAATCTATCACCTTTAAACCACGTGAATTAAATTAAAATCAAGAAGCAGCCCAAAATATGTTTGCAGTGGATACGCTTTTCAATATAGCATCTTTACCGTTTAGGATGGGGGCTTAAGACAGAGTTAGGATGAGAGGAGAAGATAAGTGAAAGAATTAGAGAAGGTTTCAAGTGAAGCCAGAGGATGTAGAATGGCCATACAATCTTTATGAAACTATTCAATTCAAAAGGGATATACAGAGTGCAAGAATAAGGACAAGAATATATCCCCCTTCACAGTAATGGGCTCACTTTCCCTTGAAACTACTGACCCCTGTGTGAGGTAGAATGACAGAAGAAAAGAACATAAAGAAAAAATGATAAAAGAAGTCTGAGTTAGGGCAGGAGCAGGAACAGAAGGGGAGATGAGGGATATGGTGGAGCAAGAGAATGAGTTGGAGAAAGAGGACAGAAAAAAGAAAGTATTTGCAGAGTGGAATGAGGAAAAGAAAGAAAAAAATGAATTTGAAAGGCTTCTTTAAGACTATATCTCTGCTGTCATAATATACAACGTGCGCTGCCATGTGCAGAACCAAGTCTGTTGATCTCAGCTAGCTGATGGCCAAACCCCACGACGCAGACTGACTTCGGGCTGCAAGGCCCAGATTAAGTTCCCTGACCTCCTGCAGGGTTGAATTCCACACAGTTCTACTATAGGTTTCCCCTGCCCCTTCTTTAAAGATGTTCAAAGTTGGAAGCTCAGAAAAATACCCTTCATGACCACCTCTGCCTCTGCAGAGTGGGTCCAAAGACTGGCACAATCAGGAGGTCGAGAGGTGGGGGTGGAGGGGGGGTTGGAGGGGTTCAGGAGCCTTCCTGGTGCTGGAGTGATGGCAACAGCGCTGGCAGGGGAGGGTGCAGCTAAGCAGACCCTCCTGGCACTGGAGCAATGGCAGCAGCCAGTAAATAATTTTTAAATGAAGCATGTCTTTATTCAGTACAGACATTTAAAAATAGTTGCAATATTCCAAAACAGAAAATTGCTGAGAAAATTTTGGCCAATTTAAACTTACAAAGTTTACATCTTGGAGTTGTTGCTACATTTGTCCCTTGATTTGCTTTTGAATAATTTCCTGAAAAAATAAAGGTATAATTTTTAACATCCTCTTTTGAGAGCACTAGAAAAACAATGGTTCATTAGCGGGGTTTGGCTTGCCCTCTGTCTCCTGGATTGCATTGTCTTAGGGCTAAAACACTATAATGGTAAAATATCTCCACAACAGTTTTAGGACTTCTAGGAAACTGAGAATTCCTTTGATGGATGTGTCTTGCTTTAGATACACAAAACATTTGTGGAAAACCTAACTTGTTCTCCAAAAGGTTAGCCGAAGGTTAACTTGCTTGTGTTTTGCTCATTAACTCGTGTTTATCCACTAAGAAGCTTCAGAATAGGTATTCCAAATGCCCATATTTTGTTGAAGAAACTTTCATCTTCACTAAACCTTTGTGCATTAGGCATAGGGAGTGCTTACAAATAGGTGAATAGCTATGTAGACACCGTAAGTCCGGCACAGCAGAGGGCTTCCCTTCTCTGCACAGGACTCATCATCCTGAGAGGGCCACCTGGAAAGAAGGCATCTCTAAGAAAAAAGCCCACCTTCATCATCTAAGCTCCTAAAGCCCATTGGTTTATAGAAACATATTTGTAGTCTACGAATAGATCTTGAACTATTATCTAGTTTAGAACTGAGGCAATGAGAGACCTTCTAAGTTTTTTAATGATTGTGACAATATCAGCTATTGTTTACTAGGACTTGTTTTATGCTGGTGCTTGTACTAAGCTCCTTAAACTTGTGTCTTACTTTATGCAAGCAGTTGTCTAGTGAATGTAATTATTACCCTCTTTTAGCTGGTGAGAAAAACTGAAGCAGAAGGGAAAATTGCATGTTTAGTCTCTTATCTGGTAGCTGATAAAATGAGAGTATGAATTAAATTTATAGCATTGTGCTATAGTATGATTGTTTGCTTGAAGAAATTCTCTGCCCCTCCATGGTATTCAGTTAAGCTTTCCTTAGGTGTGTACCACATTGGGAGTGAAGGAGGGGCCTTGACATTAGAGTGATACACACACCTGTATAAATTGCAATCCTGTGACCTGAAGACGTCACTTAACCTCTCCAGTCTCAGACAACTCACCTGTAAAGTAAAATATGTGTCCCTAGTACATTATTCATTGGATAGGGAGCTCACCTAGCATTTTAAATATCTGGGCATTTTATAAAACTTGGGCGATATTTTCTAAAGAACATATTGAAGCTGGGTGTGATGGCACATACCTGTAGTCCCAGCTACTCGAGGCTGATTGGAGGGTCACAAGTTCAAGGCCAGCCTGAACAACTTGGCACCCCTGCTTCAAAAATAAAAAGACTGGGGATGTAACTCACTGGTAGGATGCTTGCCCAGGATGGGCATGACTCTGGATTCAGTCTTAGCACCACAAGAGGGGTCAGAGTAGGGGCACATCTAGCATATCACATAAAATCATCTGTTCTTACCTAAGCTTGAAGGCCAAAATCTGTGACATTTGCCAGTTTCGTCAAAAGAACATGCTAGCTTTCTTTAGAACGGAATGATTTTTCTTCCTAATTAAGTAGAATATGGACACTTTTAATTGTGAAACAGAAGCCTCCATATAGTTCTGGAGAGAAAATAATGTGTAACATTTCAGAAATTCTGGCTTGAGTTGCCTGGACCTTTTACCTAGTCAAGGAGTAATTTCCACAGAAAACTTTAGAATGATTGGTTATGCTTGCCTCCTAGGTTCTAAGCTCCAAACTCATGCCAACAGCTGACGATGACATGGCAAGAAGCTGTGCAAAATCCTTCTGTGAGAACTTCCTCAAGGCAGGCGGCTTGAGGTATGTGAACTGCTGCAGAAAATGAGTATAGTTCTATCAGTTAATTTCCCTGTGCTTCTTCTCAACAAGGTATATGTGGGTTATAATTACAATAATGATGTTTCAGTCCTTTAGAATATTTTAATTCATTTTATGACTTGGCTATTTAAAAAGTTAGAGAAACGTGTCTCTTGCACCTCTTGTTAGGGTAAGTGTAGAGATGAGGAAGCCATATCTGTTTCTTTTGAGTCTCCCATTTAAGGTGAATTTGATTCCCAGTAATCCATGTTGTGTTAGGCATCCCTGACAGGGTTGTAAAGATAACTTAGACATTATCTTTGGCTTTGAGAGGCTTGTGGTTTAACAAAGAGTAGCAAGCAGCTAGCGAGCTATCTTACCTTAAATGGAGGCAGGTAAAAAGTGCTGAGGGAAGGAAGGTACAAAAGCAGTGGTTAAATTTCTGGGACAATAAGGTTAGTAAACACTTAACACAAAGTGACCCTTGAGCTGGGGATAGAGAAAAATTCCTAGCAATTCCCAAGGTCAGTAAGGAGGGAAAGGGAACTCTCAGCCAGGGTGAAAGGCAGGATGAGTGAAACATGAAGGTGTTTCTCCTGTTACAGTGACCAAGACCAAGGATACAGGAGAGAAATGCAGAAAAAAGGCCCTCTGGCAAGGAGTGAAGAGCAGTTTGAAGCTTGAGCAGAGAATAGTTGGAGGAATTCCTCTGTGGAAGTCTGGTAGGGAAAAGGAGGAGCTGGGCTAGGACATTTTGAGGAGATATAGGGGAGAGGAAAATGAGGACTAAAATAATTCCCACACAGTGGAAGGTCTGGTACATGTGCACAGCTTTTTTATTCAGTTCTTTAGAAGTGTTAGGAAAAACTTTTCAGATTATACAGACATCTACAGATTTGTGATAATGAAGACATACTTTTATACTTACTTGTGTATGTTAGTTAATTGGTGTGGCAGGTATTGTTTTAAGCTCAGGGGCAGAACAGTGTACACATTAGACAAAGTCCATGTCTTCACAAAGCTTGTGGTCTTTCAGAAGGAAGAGACAAATAACTATGTGTCTGGTGGTGATCAAGGAATATAGAGAGAAATAAAAGAAGGAAGCTGGGATAAAGAGCATTGTGGTTTTAATAGAAGGATCAGGAAAAGCTTCACTGATGGGGTGAAGTTTTACATTACAAAGATCTGAAGTAGATGAGGGTGAGGCCTGTAGGTAGGTACAGTAGCGGGGACAAAGCTCTCCAGAGGAGCAGCCAGAGTATTTTTCTGCAGAGGCCACAGGAAGCTGAGTGAGTGAGACACAGAGCTAGGATGTGACATTGTACACATCCCAGAGGTTAAGGTGTGCAGCACCTATGGGCTACTGTACAGATGCTGCCTTTTTTCCATATAGGAAACCACTGAAGGGTTGTGTGCAGATGGGTACCGTGATCTGACTCACATTTTAGAAAGTTCACTGGTTGAATGTTTTTGAGAATAAGTTTGTCAGGTAAAGAGGCAAGAGTGGAAATGAGGAACAGTTCAAAAGCAGGGTGGACCTAAAAACAGGTTTGACTAAATACTCCAGGTCTTGATATATTTTTGAAGTGATAGTTCTACAAATACCATGATAGTATTTGTTCAGTGAACTCAGAGCAGTTAGTGAGAAGGGGAACTGTATGATCAGTGTCCTAAGTGTCTTCTTGGCTAAGCCAGGAGTCTTAATTGTAACAAACCAGGAACATTATATTTATCATGGGAAATGGTTGCATGGTTCATTTATATGTAAGGATCTTATAAAAAGTAGCCAAGAACATTTATGAACCAGTTGTGTTAATTGTAGAAATTTTCTATGAAAAAATAAGAAGTCTTTATATACTGCTTTTTTTTTCTTTCTTCAAAGTTTGGTTGTAAATGTCATGCAAAGGGATTCCATCCCATCAGAAGTAGACTACGAGACCAGGCAAGGTGTTTATTCCATCTGTCTGCAACTTGCCAGGTATGTAAACCTTTTTACTATGTTAGCTTCACAAGGCAATGCGTGACTTTCTTTTTCTTTCTAAATCATATCATTCTCAATGTTTGAATATCATTTTTGAATGACCTTGAATAAGTCCATCTTTTTCTTTTTAAGATTTTTACTTGTTGGACAGACAATGCCCACATTATTAGATGAAGACCTCACCAAAGATGGCGTAGAAGCACTTGCTTCTCGTCCATTCCGAAATGTCAGCCGGCAGACAAGCAGACAGATGTCCTTATGCGGTACTCCGGAAAAGTCATCCTATCGACAGTTGTCAGTATCAGATAGGTCTTCTATCAGGGTTGAGGAAATCATCCCTGCTGCTCGAGTCGCAATACAAGTAAGTCATTGGTTTATTCAAGAGTTAGTAAGTACCTCCTACTTAGAGGACCCTGCTCGGGAAAAGGGACTCTGGATATAAAAATAATGAAGACAAGAATATTATTTTCAAGGAATTTATGATAAAGAGCTAGCTCAGAAATAAAAAAATCAAAGTAGAAGAGTATTGTAAAACTACAAAGGCAAAATGCTACGTGGGCCTTCACAGTAAGTGGAATGATTCCTTCACCTGTGTGGTCAGGGGTGATTTTTGTGCTGGAGGTGGTGTCTGAACTGGTCTTGAAGACAAGATGTGGTTTGAACATAGAGAGTGGAGACTTGTCCATGGAAAAAGAAGAGCAGAAGCAAAGTTAGAAACAAAACCAAACCTTGTGTGTAAGGTCACACTCACTGGTTAGTCCACAGAGGCCAAATTGTAGTGTGTGGGAACGGGAAACTGCAAAAAACAAATTGGTAAAGCGCCAGTTGAAGCTAGATAAGAGATAAGAGAGTTTTTGTCTTATAGATGACATACTAAAAGTCTGAACAGTGTGGTAGCATGAAAAAAGCTGTCCCTTTGAATAATCTTGAAGGGAAAAGGGTCTCACAAAACCAGAGCTACAGATGTCCATGGTATAGTGTTTGTATACTACTGCCTTTTCTCATAACACTTTGCTCACTTCTTTAGACTATGGAAGTAAGTGATTTCACTTCTACTGTGGCTTGTTTCATGAGATTATCATGGGCTGCGGCTGCGGGACGACTTGACCTCGTTGGGAGTAGCCAACCAATTAAAGAAAGTAATTCTCTGTTTCCTGCTGGAATTCGAAACAGACTCAGCAGTTCAGGTACTGATTTCAAAGGGACCGTAATTAACTGTAAGAGTTACCTACAGGTAGATTTTTCAGAATCACAAAAAGGGGAGAGCTTTTGCTGTTGCTTTTGAGCATGTGTAAAAATTCATCAGGCTTAGTATTTCCACACATCACTGTGTGTATGTCATAGTTTAGGAGAGAAAGCATTTATCCCCCCCCACTTATTGTGTGCAGCATTTAATGAGCATTACAATCCATCTGGTCAGCACAAACGAACACATACATCCCTAACAGCAATAGTCAAAAGTGGATTTCAAATCCACATCAATACTCTGTACTGATGCTATTTCAGATGTCTACCAAAGCCAACAAATGCTGCTTTTTTCATACTTGAATGTTCCCAATTAAGGTATCAGTTAATAGTGAATTTCTTATGACAAGAACACAATAATGCTTTTTAAAATTTCGAGAGAACTTTCATGTATGTAAGAGTACAGATCAACAGGTTTTCCAGTAATACTAAGATTATTGATTGGAATAAGTATATTTTATGAAAAAAAAAGTTTACAAAGGATATTAAATAAGGATAACCTATTGAGAGTTTCCCTGGTCAATAAGGCATTAGTAATAGTTTACCAAGAATTATGCATAAAGTTTATCACAAAACAGCATTTATGTTTATAGAAATTTATATATTTTTACAGAGCGTACTTTTACAAATATAATAACCTAATATTTTGGTGTTTCCAAATGAAAGTAACTAAACAGTAATAAATTATGCATGTATGTTATTATATCAAAATATGTGTACATGCATATATATTAGAAAAAAATGTAGTTTTGTACAGTTACAGCCAAACTAGCTAAGCCAGCCTAAACAGGAGTTTATACTAGTTTAAAATATTTTTTTAATTTAGAAAATTACAAAAGAACTGAAATAAATGACCATTAATATGACTGAATGGAAGTCATTTCTTTTTGTTTACGAGAAAGCACTTATAAATGCCTAGAATAAATGGAGGAAAAAATAGAACAGGTTTTACCTTCCCTAATCATGTCATGAAGCCAGTAATTGGAGATAACAAAAATTCATCTAGAATTCTGACCAGAAAACAGTTCTTTTCTTGCTTTGACAGGTTATTTTCTGTTGGGCCTTTGTAATACTTTATCACTTAGCTTTGTGTGGTTTTCCCTGCTCTGTGTCTTTAGTAAGAGATTAAGAGCTTAAGAGTAAAAAAAAAAAAAAAAAAAAAAGTTTTAAAAATTAGGATATGTAGTAAAATGAAGTGTTAAGTGAACAGTGTTTTTAGGGCTTTAACCCATTGACACCAAATTACAAGATTAAAAACCATTTCTGATAATTCAGAAAGTTCCCTCATGTTCCATAATTGCACTATTGTTTTTGCCACCTGAAATGGTTTTGCCTTCTAAAGGCATTTTGAGTTCCTGCAAATATGTTTTAAGTACAAAGCAGTTAGGGTGTTTCAGGTGCACTGAATCTCTTTGTAATGCTCTAAGTCATTTTATTTCTCAGACAAACATGCTTTCTTGACATATTTAATGTTACCTAAGGATTCTGGGTCATATATAAAGGATATCAGGCCGGGGATTTAGTTCAGTGGTTCTGCTGCCTGCCTCAAAAGTGCAAAGTACCAAGTTCGGTCCCCAGTATCAAAAAAAAAGGATATTAAAGTACTGCACAGTACCTGTAGGATCCATGGTAAACATCTGTGTTCTACTTTTAGGAAGCAATTGTAGCTCTGGAAGTGAAGGAGAGCCAGTAGCCCTGCATGCAGGAATCTGTGTCCGGCAACAGTCTGTGTCCACCAAAGACTCACTGATTGCTGGAGAAGCTTTGTCTCTTCTTGTTACATGCCTGCAGCTTCGGAGCCAGCAACTGGGTAGGAGGAGTAGGCTTATTTCAATTAATCTCTGTTGGGAATTACTTACATTGCTTCATAGATAAGATCCTATTAATAGAAGTGAAAGGACGGGGAAAGTTGGCATGTGGATAGGTAAGGAATAATGCTAGAATTGATCATTCTGAAGAAGTGTTTATCAAGCATCTTTTGTTGTTTGAGGTTCTACTGGAGGTGTTGCAGGAACATATCTGCCCTCCGGGAACTTACTCTTTAGCCGAGGAATTAAAACAACCCAAATTGCTAGTTCATAAATTGTATAATCAGAATTATATATTGATTCCCAGTAACTATTACTAGAAATTTCAAAATTTAAGACTTTTCCCTTTTCCCTTTATTATTGGCTTCAAGAATTAGGGCTAATGCTAATCATTCTTCAGCACTAGAGCACTTGGGGCTCAGTGCCTCTTTCTCCACTCTGCACTCATGCTCTTGTGGATTTACCTGATGTCACAGCTTAAATTCTGTCTAGATGCTGACAGCTGATGACACCTCAGCCTGAATCTGTGCCCTGGACTGCTGCCCTGACATCTCCACTGGGTTATCAAGTAGATATCCCAAGTGTAACCTGTCCGGAACGGAATTCCTGTCTTGCCCATCTCACTCAAGAGTTTTCCTAATTTAAAGGCAGTTTCAACCCTCTAGTCACTCTGGGCAAAAACCTTGGAGTCAACTTTGATTGTTTTTTTCACACCCTACTTCTAGTCAGCCAGCCTATTTTCTTTCCAGACCAGTGTAGATTCCACCCTACATTTCATTTGCGCTGTTGGTACTTCTGGCGTGCCATCATTTCTTACTTGAATTATAGCAGGTGCCCTCACTAATCTCCCTGCTTCTGCCCTGACAGTTTATTTTCCACACAGTAACCAGAGTGGACCTTCTAACATATAAGTCAGGTGTGTCACTCCTTAAAAAACCTTCCAATGGCCTCTCAGTTCACTCAGTAAAAGCCAAATCCTTCTCACGGTCTTCACTTTCATTCCACTCGCTGTCCTTCTGCACCTGGGCCTTGTACTCTCCCCTCACTTACTGGCCTCTGTACTATACCAACCTTCCAGACATTTATACTGCCTGTTTTACCTTTCTGGTGGATTCTTTCCCCATCACTTCAGTTAGCTCTCCCTTTCTTATCTCATGCAAATCTTTGTTTATGTATCTTCTAGGTGACATTTTCCCCAGACCACCTTTTTTAAAAAACTACAGCCCTTCTTTTGCTGTAGGACTGCTGTGCCTTCTTCTGTACATCTTACTTTTTCTTTTCTGTAGCATTTATCTTTTATAATATACAGTATAATTTACTTATTTATCATTTTATTGCTATTGTCACCTCAACTAATCTTTAACTTCCATAGAAAGTTCTGTCCATTGTTTCCTGTTGAATCTGCAGTGCCCAAATGCAGCCGGGTATGTAGGAGGCCCACAGTAATACATAGCCAAGAATGCAGTCTTGGCTACTTCACTTTAAAACATTGTACCAACACGGAGGAGCCCTCGTTGTAGTTGTTACTACTGATTTCACACTGCTAGTTTCATTGAATTGGTGATCATTATATATTGTATTTGGTATTATACTCAAGTTAATTACATAAACCAAAGTAAAGTTAATCAAGATAAACAGACAAAATTAGACATTCATGGAACATTAAAATAGTGTCTAAATTATTTTCTCTGAACAAAAATGCCTGAGAAAGATAAGAATTATGTCATTATGAAATTGCTTCAAAAACCTATGCCATACTCTTAATTTGATTTTCCTAAAATTGTTTAGAAATGTTTTCAAATCAAGATAAAAAATTGTGACTTCCCTCCAAGCTGTTATGTGTATTTTATGTGGGGGTACATTTTTTAGTCACAAGTATTAATAGTTTATCAAAGCAAGACATGTTTATTCTGTACCTTCGAGGCACTATGCTAATTGTGGGGTACAAAGGTGATTAAGGTATTACTCCCTGAGCACCTTAAAATTTCATGAGGTAAATGGAAAGACATGGAAGCAATTGCAGAAGATGGAGTTGTATTCCATCTAGAAAGAAAACATAAATTTCTGCTTGTGCTCAAGAAATTATCCAAAATTTTGAAAAAGCATTATCTAATATAGTACCCTCTCTCCCATTCTCCATGTTCTTATCATTAGCATCCTTCTATAACTTGCCCTGTGTTGCTGATTTTATCATTGATATTCTGCTTGGATCACCAAGTGCTGAGGTAAGGATTATCTACAGTACTTGTAGAAAAATATCCCTTTGCTTCCATTCTGTTGTGAGCTATGGTAGGTAGATACCTGTAACATTGTGGGGAGGATGGAAGGAATGGCATTCATCCTTCTGAGGGAGTCATGCAGTGGGACCATGGGCCATTTCTTAAAACAGAGACCATTTGGGCTATACTGCCCAGCCTTCTGCCACCCTCTCTGCATACCACCAGAAGGTATGAGACTAACATATGGCTAAGTGATGTTTGCTTATAGCATCCAGAATGTTCCAGCCAGTGTTTAGTACCCACAGCTTACATGAGTAGCTGGCAGTAAACATCAACATGTCGGTCAAAATCAGGAAGACCATCTTTAAGCCGTGAACTTCCTGTTATATAATTCTGACTTTTTTTTACATGACCTCAAAAATACACTTTTTAAACACTTGAAAAAGAGTTTTGCTTATGTTAATTATAAACATACTGATTAGAGCAGAATAGTAGGTTAATTTGTGAAATTAGTTCCCAAGCTATGCTTGTTTGTAATTAGCACATTGATTCATTGTCATCTTTACCATTAAAAATTGGAACCTTGATACCTTTCTAGTGTCCTTCAGTAACTTCAGTGAAGAGTGTGGACTTTGGAAGAAATCACCTGTAAGCACCTCTAAAATGTTGACTGACATGCAGTCTTTGTCACCTATCTCGTAATTACAGATCCGCCGTGTCGCCTGTGACCAGCTATACACTCTCAGTCAAACAGACACTTCTGCTCATCCAGATGTGCAGAAGCCAAATCAGTTCCTTCTAGGTGTCATTCTCACAGCTCAGCTGCCTCTCTGGTCCCCAACTAGCATCATGAGAGGAGTCAATCAGAGGTATGTATAAAATATGTAGAACTCCCATTACATAGAGAGAAAGAATGAGTAATGATATATTGCTCCCCCGGATTCCATAGGCACTATTGAGATGCCAGAAGAACTTCTCTGTTGTTCTAACATTTGGGCCCTGAAGGAAGGTGTTTGTGTTTTTCTCCTTATGCTAGACAAGAGGGTGAAACAGTGCCAGACTTTCTCCATCTTCTCCAGCTCCCAGTCCCCCTCATCCCAGAAGGAAAGTTGAGTTTACCTAGTTGGTGAGATCCTGAAGTTACTTGAGTCAGATCACTGTAAAAGTCACACTGACTTTGTCCTCTGGTAATCATTTCTTGGTCCTGTGTCTAGAGATAGCCGGAGTGTCCTTCTGGCTTTCTACCTTGATTTTTTACATACTTGATCATATAAGGAAGCTTATGATCTAGGCTTACAGGGTGACTTAGGTAAGTCACTGTACCTGTGCAGGCCAGCCTACATCAGTCAAGGCTAGATCTTTGATCCAGTCCCAGGGTGACATTGACCCCAAATTTATGCCGCTTTATCCAACTCAGCTTTACCAGACAGCCCCTGCTGTGGAGCTAATAAGAAACCATGGAGCTTTGTGAACTCAGCATCTCCTTTCGTTTTATATGTGCTTCACAAATTAGAACCTTAGAGGGGAAGAGACCATAGAGTTGCTATAAACTCTTAACATGTAAGCATCCAAGCCCAGTTTTTTTAACATAATAAAGTAATGTAATGTAATAAAGACATAACAAAATTTACCATTATACCTGTTTTTAGATACTCTGCAATTCAGTAGCATTAAGTACACACACATTGTTGTGTAACCATTACCACCCACTGTCCATTTCCACAACTTTTTCATCATCCCAGTCCGACACTCTGTGTCTATTGAATAATATTTCCCATTCTTTTCACCTACCCAAAACCCTGGTACCTGCTGTTCTGCTTTCTGCCTCTGTGCATTTGACTACTCTGGGTACTTTGTATAAGTGGAGCCATACAATAGCTGTCCTTTTGTGTCTGGCATATTTCTATTATGGCCTCGAGGTTCATACACATCATATGTATCATGATCTCCTTTAAGGCAGATTGGTGTTCTGTTGTACATATAGGCCATATTTGTTTATCCATTCAACTGGAGAGGAATATTTGAGTTGTTTCTACCTATTTTGAATAATACCCTATGAATGTGAATGTACAAGTACTGTTATCTCGAGTCCTTGCTTTCAGTTCTTTGGGGTAGATAATCCGGGAGCAGAATTGTCAGATTGTACAATAATTCACTGTGTGTGGTTTTTTAAAAAAAATTTTTTAAGCCAGGTGTGGTGGCACATGCCTGTAATCCCAGCACTCAGGAGGCTGAGGCAGGGAGATCACTGTGAGTTCGAGACCAGCCTGGGCTACATAGTAAGTTCCAGGTCAGTCTCAACTACATAGTGAGACCCTGTCTCAAAAAACAAAAAACCAAAAAAAAATTTTTTTTTTTTAGTTCGTTTTGGGTTGTTTTGTTTTTGAGGTGTCGCCGTTTCCAATGTTTTACTTTTTACATTTTCCACCCTTTACACCGTTTTACTTCCCTGCAGCAGTACACAGGGGTTTTCTACATCCTAGCTAATAAGACTTGTTTTCTGGAGGTTTTTTATGATTGTTGTTTTGTGTTAATAATAGCTGTCCTAGTGGTTTATTTGGAGAAGTATCTCTTAAAGATTTTTACCCATGTTGTGTTGTGTTGTGCTGTGTTTTGTTACTAGGGATTAGACCCAAGGCCTTTGCTCTAAGCTGTATCTCCAGTCCTTTTTTATTTTGAGATAAGGTCAGCCTGATTCACTAAATTATCCGAGCTGGACTTGACTTGAATCCTCTTACCTCAGGCTCCCAGAGTGCTGGGATTAAAGGCACGTACCACCATGCCCAGCTCTCAGTTTTTGAATGGTGGTATTTTGTTGATCTTTATATGTATCTCTAGTGTTGATTCTTTATCATATTTATATTCTCTCATTCTGCATGTGACCTTTTCACTTTCTGGATAATGTCCTAAAGACACACAAATATTTTAAATTTTGAAGAAATCAGGTTTATCTACTATTTTTCCTTTTGTTGATGATACTTTTGGTGTCATACCCAAGTAATAATCACCAAATTCTATGTCGTGAAGCTTTTCCATTATGGTTTCATTTAAGGATTTTATAACTAACTCTTTTGCACTAAAGAACATTTAGGTGTTTGACCCACTTTAAGTTTTATAAATGGTTTAAGATAGGAGTTTTAACTTCTTTTCCATGTGAATGTCTAATTTTCTCAGCATCATGTTTTGAGGACAGTCTTTTTCCCCATTAAATGGTTTTGGCATCTGGTTGTATATATTTGACTATATATGTGATGATTTGAGTCATTTCTCTTTCTTTGGTCTATATTTGCCTTTTGTTTTTATTTTTTTCCAGTACCAGGAATGTTCTATATTTGTCTTTGTGCCATTTGGGGCGGGGAGTAGTAGGGGGGATCAAACTCAGGACCTTGCATTTGCAAGGCAGGCAGTGGCACTGCTGAGCTAAATCCCTGGCCCTTTATGCCATGCTTTGATTACTGTAGCACTGTAATAAATTTTAGAAGGAGGATATGACTTCTCCAACCTTATTCTTTTTTCAAATTTGTTTTGGCTGCTTGGGGTCCCTTGAGATGCCACATGAATTTTGAAATGGGTTTTTCCATTACTGAGAGTGTTGCTGAAATTTTTATAGGGGCTTGTCTGTAGAAGACTTTGGTACTGATATCTCAACAAAATCTATCCTAATTAATGAACACAAGATGTCTTTCCATTTATATGTCACCTTTAATTTCTTTCTGCATTAAGTTTGCTGTGCAAGGCTTTCATTTACTTGATTAAGTTGATTCTTAAGTATTTTGTTCTTGATGCTGTTCTAAATGAATTTGTCTTGATATCTTTTTTAGATTGTTCATTGTTAGTGGAAAAATGGAACTTGTTTGATTTTTTTTTTTTATCCTTCCACTTTGCTAAATTTATTGATTCTAATATAGTTTTCTGCAGAACATCAGGATTTTGTGTATTTAAGATCATGTCATCAGCAAATAGAGACTATTCTACTTTTCCAATTTGGGTGCCTTTCTTTCTTCTCCTTGGCTAGTGGAAACCTTCAGACCCCTATTGAGTAAAGGTGAGGGCGGGTATCCCGTTCGCTGTTCTCAGAGAAAAAGCTTTCAACCTTTCACCATTGAGTGATGTTAGCTGTGGGTCTTTCACAGATGGCCTTTATCATATTGAGATAGCTACCTCCTGTTCCAAGATTGTTCCATGTTTTTATCACCAAAGGGCATTAAATTTTGTCAGATGATTTTTCTGCATCTTGGGATGATTTTTTTTTTTCCTTTCTCTCCATTAATGTGGTATTAGTAATTTTTCATATGCTGGAGCACCCTTGTATTCCAGGAGTCTGTCCTGCTTGTTTGTGGTATGCAGTCCTCTTAAGTGCATTGCTGAGTTTGGTTTGCATGGATGCAGATTTGCATCAGCATTCATAAAGGGCAGTGGCTCTGTGGTTTTCTCATCGAATCTGTTTCTAGCTTTCATAGAGTAATGCCAGCCTTGTGAAAGTTAGGAAGTGTTATCTGGACTTCCCCTTCAGTGTTTTTGCCGAGTTTGAGAAAGATTGGAATTAGTTTTTAAATGTTTGGCATCATGATGTACTAGCACAGTCATCTCGTCCAAAGATTTTCTTTGTTGGGAGGTTATTATTACTGATACTTCTCCTTGCTAATTATGGGTCTACTCAGATTTCCCTTTTCTTTTTCTTTTTCTTTTTTTTTTTTTGTACTGGGGATCGAACTCAGGACCTTGATCTTACGAGGCAGGCAGCAGAACCACTGAGTGAAATCCCCAGCCTCTTCCCTTTTCTTTATTTTTATAAAATCAGTAGTAATGTTACCAGTTTCATTTCTGAGTTTAATAAATTTAGCCTTTTATTTTAGCCTGTTGAACTAAAAGTTTCTCAATTTTGTTGAATTTTTAAAGTTATTTTTTTAAGATTCAGTTTAATAAAACTAAATTTTAAGAATTTGATTAATATTAAATTCTTAAAGCATTGGAAAGGAAACAGCATTAGATGAGATTAATAACATCAGATAATCTCTTCTAAAAATATATTGAATGTAGAGCTGTTTAATTTCATATAAACTTATTTGTTTTTGCATAAAATTATGTATCACCACTTTCTTTAATGCCCCACATTGGTATATGTTTAGTAATTATCATGAGCTGTGTACCAGACAGCTTGTTTATGTTTATCTTTTAATCTTCAGAATACCAAAATGAATTTGGCCCTTTTATTATCTCCATTTTTTATAACCATAATTTTTGGTTCATTATATATTCTTGCCATTAGTACATGCTTGAGCCTTTTATATATATATTTGTGTATAAACTTACATGCTTATTTCTAGTACTATAATAGCATTTTAGAAATTTGAAAGCTGAGAGAAGTGAAATTGTTCATGGACAGCCCACTTTAAGTAGAAGAATGAGGACTAAAACCATTCTATTGTCATTTAAATACTTGTGCTGTTAATCACTGTAATTGTAGAAAAAGTACCTTTGATCACTTTACATAATCCTCCTCATACTTTGCTTTATTCTTCCTCGTGTTTGTCATCACTTGACGCGTGTATATATTTTATTTACTGTCTTGTCTCCCTTGTTCCTTTGTTCATCATTTCCCTACAGTTCTAGGCATTTGTAGGTGTTTAGGAGGCATTAGTTAATATTTCAGTGAACAGATGGAATCATTGCATATATAATTTTAAAATGTTGATAAATTAAGCAATTCTTTCTCTTCATGCTATTATTCTTGTATTACATCTTTATTAGCAAAATCATTAATATGATCCATGCTAAAATATAGAACTTAAATCAATTTAAAAATAGCAGTTTTATGCTTAGGAAAATCTTATTTGATTATGTTATGTTTTTTTTTTTTTTAAATGCTCTTCATTTTCAAATCAGCTTCTTTTTAGTAACTGAAACCTATTTATTTTTTAGACTATTATCTCAGTGTATGGAGTATTTTGACTTGAGGTGCCAGTTATTAGATGATCTGACAAGTAAGTAAATGTCTAAATTTTGTTTGGGGTAGAAGTGTATAAAAGACAGTCAGGTTGACCTTGCTGAATCTAACTTGTATATCTCACGTGTAAATGAGATTATAATCATTGTTGAAAGTGATTTTTTTTTTTAAATGGCATATACATCATGCATCAATGAGGTCCTCTTCTGTTACATACACAACCATTACTGTATTGAAATTTGTTCATTTTAAAAATTGTCAAAGTTTCATATTTTAATTATATTAATGCAAAATTATTATGAAGGATCTTTTTAGTATAATTCTGACAGTTAAAGATTGATCATTGGAGGAAAGATGGGATATATTAAAGCATGTTTATATTAGAAGTCATTTAATTAGATGAATTCATTGTTAGGAATTCTTTTGAGTTGAGATTTTAATCATCTGTGTTTATTCGTAAATAATACAAAGATATATTGGAATGCTCCGTGTAAATTTTAGTTGTTCAAATAAAGAGCTGGTTTATTCCCCATTCTTTTCCACAAGAATTTGCCATAGTTTAAAGGAAATAAAATGAAAATCAGGATGAACAGGGCTGGGGCTTTAGCTCAGTGGTCTACCAACACCTGCCTCTCAAGCTCAAGGTCCTGAGCTCGATCTCCAGTTTCCAAAAAAAAAAAAATCAGGATGAAGAAAAACACTAATCAGAAAAGAATAACCTCATTTGTACATATACAGGCTATAAAGTCCTATCGGTTTTGAAGTTCCTAAATGCCAAAGATAAAAGGGAAACTTTGTGTTTTGTTGTAATCAATACTCTAGTATTTTGACTCTATGGGGAGAAATTCTTTTTTCTTTGTAAATGATTTTTCCCCCCTTTTAGCTTCAGAAATGGAACAGTTACGAATTAGCCCAGCTACCATGCTTGAAGATGAAATTACTTGGCTGGATAACTTTGAGCCTAACCGCACAGCTGAGTGTGAGACTAGTGAAGCAGACAACATCTTATTGGCGGGACACTTGCGGCTCATTAAGACCCTTCTTTCACTCTGTGGGGCAGAGAAGGAAATGCTTGGTAACTATTGCTTCATTTTACCATGTGGCAGAATGCCTTAGTTCTCAGTTGTTGCTGTACCTTAGTGTATAATTGGGGCAGTAAGATAAGATAGTTGCCAAATGTTCCACTGAAAATTTACCCTTCGGGAATAAGAAATTGTCTACAATTTTAGAGGCTAGCAAACTTAAGATGTATTTTACCTTTGTCAGTATACCACATAGAGAATTTTATAGAGTTCAAAATGGTTCAATTACAAAATTTTTTGTTTGTTTGCATTTTTTGTTATTGTTCTGCTTTGTTTTGTGAGATAAGGTCTTGCTATGTAGTTCAAGCTGTCCTTGAGCTCCTTATGTAGCCCAGGCTGACCTGGAATTCAGAGCAGTCCTCCTGCCCTCAGCACCCCCAAGTGCTGGGATTATAGGAGTGCATGTGCCATCACTCCTGGTTTATAAAACTTCTTAATACCAAGATAATTTAAGTAGATTTGTTTCTTTTTGCTGATATGCACATTACATACCGTCTATTATATATCTTTTAAGGATGATTCTAATCTGAGGTGACCCTCAACCACTGCATCCCCAGTGCCAGGGTACACATAAGATTGTCCTGGGTTCCAAATGTAATCTGTGAAAGCATGTCCCATGTTATAAATTATATCCAGACAACAAACCAAAAATTAACTATTACTTTTATAATACAAATAAAGTTCCGTAAAATCTTCTTGGCTACAGGGGATACATAGAAAAGAGTGATTCTTAACCAGGAAGAGAAGGGCACATCATTTTTACGTAAAGAAGGCAAGACTTTAAAGGTTTCATAAACCTTTGTGGACTCCCCTTTGCTGAGAGTGAGAGTTGGTTATTCATTCAACCTATTCTGCCTTGTGGTGTTGACATGACATCTGTCTTTCCAAGGTGAAAGCTTAACTCCTTTTGCTGTATCATAGGCTCATAAAGAATAGCTCCCTCACTTGTCCATCTTGGTACCCTGTCCCCTGCCCCTTCCACTCCACAGAGCATTGCCCCCTAGGAATCACTCAAAAACTATGCATTCAACTGGGTGCACTGCAGATGGGTGGGCTTTGGGTGCTTTTGCTACACCTGTAGGAAAGTGCAAGAGAGGGTCTTTGAATTAAAACTTGTGTTCATCCTCAATGTGAATGTTATGCTCTATTCCAGGTTCATCACTCATTAAACCATTGTTAGATGACTTCCTTTTCCGAGCTTCTAGAATTATTTTAAATAGTCATTCTCCAGCTGGCAGTGCCGCCATCAGTCAACAGGACTTTCATCCAAAGTATGGAAAATGCACGTTGTGTTCAGTTTTGGTAAAAATTCTAATTCAAAACTTTAGTCCAAAAGGATTTTCTTAACCTGGAGTTGTCCTCCATCTTGTGAGTCTTTGTGTCCAAGATATGATGTACTGTGTAAACAAATGCACATGAAGATGCTTAGTAAAGCCAGCCTGGCCTGTAGTAAGCACAGAGCAGGTGTGTTGGTACCATTATCATCATCGGAGTGGAAAAATGAATACTAATGTGGCTAACTTGGTCAGTGACACATTCCAGGATAAATGAAAGTTGTGAGAGTTGTGTCCAGGGGCTGGGAATGTGGCTCAGTTGCAGTACCTGCATAGCTTAGTATGCATGAAGAACTGGGCTCAATGCCCCAAGTGTCCCAAGTCAGTAGGGTAGGCTCCAAGGGAAGTCTTCAGGGTTACTTGGAAGAAAAGGATACGTGCTAAAATACACAAACTTTGTGTTTGACTGTGTTCTGGTAACTGTGACTGCTAGTGATTTGTCACAGTTGTAATTTTGGAATCAAATTTTGTAGTAGTTTTTATAGGTAGAAATTCAGTTCCTTTGTGGGTTGATCCTATTTAAGTGACATTTGTGCTCTTGGTGATGGAGTAGGCAGCCATAACCTGCTATCTAATTTGCTGTGAATCCAATTTAAGAACATGAAAACCAAAGTTAACTGAGTAGTATTAAAAAAAAACTGAGGACTTAGTATTTACAGTGAAAAAAGTTTTGATGTAATTTCAGTATTTGTATAGGCAAGGCATAATAAACAATATTTATCGTGTATATATTTCTCTATGTAGAGTATTAGTAAATTAGTGTGGTGAAGAGCTTCATTGGAACTCTTGGATTGTCCTGCAGTCCTCATTCCTGCCCCAGTCTTGTTTTAGGTTTAGCACTAGGTCCGTGGGTATCTAATTAAAGCAGTAGAAATACATGAGTATTTTGATTTTCAGTAAACATTTAAAAAACTTCAATTTTAGTGAAATTTGTATTGGTAACTCCTTCCTTTTAAGGTAGTACTTTGATGCAGACTTTTTTGTTACTTGTTTATTTTGCGGGGGGGATAACTAGAGATTGAACCCAGGACCTTTGTACTAAGCTACAACCCCAGCCCTTTATTTCTTTATTACTTATTTTGAGACAGGATTTAATTAAGTCGCTAAGTAGCCCAGACTGGGCTTGAACTTGGGATCTTCCTGCCATGGCCTCCCAGAGTGCTTACAGGCATGTGTTATCACACCTGTATTACTTCCTAAATCATGTACAGTGCCTCAAATAGAAAAGGAAACATTTTGTTTCAACCTTTCCCAGTGTGCTGAATGATGTCCACTTAATCATAGTCTCTTCCACCCATTTCCCACTAAAAGCTTAAAGCAAGAAAATAGATTTAAAATACATAAAACTCATTTGAGAAGTGTTGCTGTTCTTACATTACAATAACAGAACAACTTCTTTAGCTCATTTCCCTGCACCCCCGGTACCAGGGATGGAACTCAAGACCTTGTGTTTGTGAGTGATTGTGAGTGAGGCAGGCGTGGTGCCATTGAGCTAAATTGCCAGCCCTTCCCTGCTCATTTCTTACCTGTCCTTTTCAGTCTTTAAGTCTTAGACAAGAAGCAAAAGACAGTGTTGGCTCCATGGCCATTGTCCCCAGTGCCCAATGCAGTGCTTATATCAAGGAGTCCCGCCCCCCTCAACCACCTCCACACTGTGTACAGGGCTTTACTCAGAGGCTGGGTGTCCTCTTTTCTGTGTATCCTTCCCAAACTGTGATCCCTTCAGTAGTGAAGGTTGGCATAGCTTGCAGTAAAGAACACTATCCATGCCAAGGGCCAGGTATGTAGCTCAGCAGCTCCATGCCTGCCTGGCAAGGTCCTGAGTTTAATTCCTGGTTCCCCCAAAAAAAACTTATCTGTGCCCAAAGGCAGGCAATATAGGAAGCTTAGTTTCCTGCAGAATGCTTGCTTGTTATCTTTTATGTTACCTGAAATAAATTGATTTGGAAAGCTGCACATTTCTGTCTGCCTTTTCAGCAAAGTAGTAAGTTCACTCATGTCCTTGAGAATTTTTGATCCTCAAGCACATAAAATATTTATGAATATCTATTCTGATTTGCATAGCTTTCTTTTTCTGCCACTTACTCAAATTTCAAGAAAACATCTGCAAAAATCTTTCTTGCCTACTTTGATTGGAAGATAGTTATTTCCCTGTTGTGTTTATTACAGAGATCTCCAACTCTTTCTCCTCCATTCATCATTCATTCCTTAGATAAGATCACTATGGAGTCATAGGTGAAAGAATTTTGCTACTTAATTTTCAAGCCAAGGAAATATTTAACTATAAACTGTATTTATCTCTCCTGTATTGATAGCATCTAGATTATTCAATTTCTGGCTTAGATTTGATCTATGTTTGAGGAATTGCAGCTCTGATGTTTTTATTTCAGATGTTGACTTAATTAGAAGTTTGAGCAGATTATATTCGGTGTTGAAACTGATTTGAGCCTTTTGTTTTTAGGTGCAGCACAGTGAATAGCCGCTTAGCAGCCTATGAAGTCCTTGTAATGTTGGCTGATAGTTCACCTTCAAATCTTCAAATTGTTGCAAAAGAACTACTTTCTATGCATCATCAACCTGACCCTGCTCTTACCAAAGAGTTTGATGTAAGTTTTCTAAATTGTGATGCACTTACTTTTTATAAAATTATCTTTTAAACATAATTTGAAGATGGCTTGCATTCTCCTAGCAAAAAAGAAAGTCAGTTATATTGTTTTTCTTACTGTGTGAACCTATTCAAATCAACTATAAGCTACATTACCACATGGATACACTCTGGTATAGTGGTATATGGTACCTTTGGGATGGGCATTTTCAAATTGGTCAGTAGTTACACTCAGTGGAAAGTACCATACCAGCCTTTTTTTTTTTTAAGTAGCATTACGCTGGCATAGGGCCAGGCTCTGTCATGACACATTCCATGTTCCCTTGAATTCAACAAAGATTGTAGAATTTACCATATGCTCAGAGGTATATTAAGCTTTTGGAGCTCAAAATCAAAAGAGATGAGCCCAGTTCTTAAGAAGAAGAGAGTTGTGTAGTGGAAAAGACAGGCCCATAAGTAGGTCATTTCAGTTGCATGTGTTGCAGGTGAAGACAGGCATATCTTCAGTGCTCTAACAGGGAGGCACTTCCACCACTGGTGGTGGTGTGTTAAAAAGGTCTTAGAGAAGTTGAAACTTGAAATAGAGATTAAAGACTATTGAGCCAATTGAAGCAGGGTGGGAAGGTCATTCCATTCCAGCAGTGAGAAGAGTATGAGCAGAAGTGTCATGCCATTGAACATCTTAATGTATTGCCCTATTTCCTATTAGTTTTTATTTTTCTCTTCTATTTGTACTTACAGTTTCACATGTAAGTAAGACCCTTTACTATTTAAGTTTGTCTGATTTACTTAACATTATAAGACCTACAGGTTTTTGCTGGCTGGTTGTTATTACATGGGTTACAGATATTATACTTGACTTATGCAGTCTAGCATGAGACCCATACTCCTTTTGTAAGCATATTTCAGTGTCTCGTGACAATACCATTTTCCACTTGGAGAGGTGCCATATTTAGCTTTAGCCAAGATGCCTTTTCTGGACTTTTCCTACCCAGAAAACCATTGTATTCAGATCTGAAGTATTTCAAAATATTTATAAGTGAAATGATAAGTGTTTACCTGTTTGTTAGCTTAATAGAAGGAATTTAATACAGTAATATTGCCTATATTTTTAGTCTTTTTGCTTGGTAAATGCCTTACCCTTGTATCCTGTAAACTCCTGGAGATCACGGACAATGCTCATTTTTGTTCTTGTGCATTCCTGGCACAGTACCTGGAGTGGGTAAACCATTGATAAGTATGTGTTGAATGATAGATGACCACATGCATGGCTACATGAGTTAACAAACACACAGCAGCCATGTGCCGGGTATGTTATGAACAAAAAGACACATTGAGATTACAGTCCTCTCTCATTGTTCTAGAGCTTCAGACAGAGGTACATTGTGACTACATTTCCCAACGCACTGAATGAGTCAGTCTCTTGATTATATCTCTTTTTCCTTTTAGACAAACTAAATCACTATAGTAGAAATGTGCCTGTAGCCAAGGTATTAATTTTCTTCCCTACTTTCTCTTCTTTTTTCCAGTACCTTCCCCCAGTGGACAGCAGGTCCAGTTCAGGGTTTGTGGGGCTGAGGAATGGCGGTGCAACTTGTTACATGAACGCAGTCTTCCAGCAGCTGTATATGCAACCTGGGCTTCCTGAGGTGATTGCCTTCCTTGGTTTTGTTTGGCATGAGAAATAAAATGTGCTTTTCCTGAAAATCATTACTTACTGATTTATTACTTCTTGGGTTGCAAAAGCTGGATATAAGTGGGAGTCATATGTTACTCATAGTCACACATTTTTATAAATCTGATGTTTTAATGCCTTGACCTAATGCAATTTTTTCACTCTATAGGATTTCTCACATTCTGTTTCATAAAATTGCTGTTCTAACAAACATTTTAGTATTTGAGAAATATATAGGCTGTATCACCAGTGTGTTATAATAATAGAGTAGTAGCTTATGGTATGGCAGGTAGTGTTTTGAGAGTTCCATGTATATTGTACTTATTTCTTATAGAGATCTAATACTAGTATTTTTAATTTTTTTCTAGTCACACAAAGAGATGATTTGTTCATTATAATACCAGCTATAAAATATTCAAGCTAAATATATGCAGAAATGTGAACATATCCAACTATGCATTAGCATTCTAAAACACCGTGGCTTTCCTGTGTACATATATCAGGGTTTCCTGTGAAGCTGTTGAGTATTTCTCATTTGATACCTTTCTTTTCTTTTTAGTCACTACTTTCAGTGGATGATGACACAGACAATCCAGATGATAGTGTATTCTACCAAGTACAATCTCTCTTCGGGCATTTGATGGAAAGCAAGTTACAGTATTATGTACCTGAGAATTTCTGGAAGGTATTTCAGCAAGTTTTTGTAGATTTCAGGGTATTAAGATATTTGGGCTTTGAGTACAGTTTTTCCCAGTTGATAATAGATTCTTACCTTTGCTAACTAAGTCTGGGTTAATCCCACTGCTAAGAACCTATTAAAAATGGGGTATACAGCACTTGTTGAAATTGGCACTTGGGAGCTGGGCATTTAGCTCAGTGGCAGCACTGTGCCTGCCTGGCAAGCACAAAGTCCTGAGTTTGATTTCCCAGTACCAAAAAAAAGAAAGAAATTGGCACTTGGTCTCAAATAATTACAATATTGAGTAGTCAGTTCATAATTCGTAGAGATTTGCTAATGTTAATTATTTTAAGTCTTTCTCCTAATTGCTTTTTAGGTTTTTGAAATATTTATTCAAATCATTCCTCTGATTTATTCAAATCAGTCCCTTTTCACTGCTGCCTTTAAGTAGAAAACACCATTTTTGAACATGGCTTTACTTGATTTCACGCAATGGAGTATTACTCTGTTTTCCCAGACACTGGTTAGTTTCTGAGAGAAGCCCCTACTCTGTGGCTGTAGGTCTCACCCTGTATCCACGTGGAGGTTCAGAGATTTATCGTGATTACAGGGACCAGAGAAAAGCATAGATGGCTGAATTTAAGCTTGTCCCACTACATCCTAATAGTGAACTTGGTTTTTAGAAACATTTAAGTGCTTTTTCACATTCCTTTTCTGTTATATTCAGAAGTTACTGCTTTCTCTTAAAAATACATTAAATTCTTCCTGCATAGATTTTCAAGATGTGGAACAAAGAACTCTATGTGAGAGAACAGCAAGATGCATATGAATTCTTTACTAGTCTCATTGATCAGATGGATGAATATCTCAAGGTAATAAGTCTTACTTTCCCTCTAATTCCCCCAGACTCTAATTACAGTGTGAAAACAATGCCTCAGGATTTGCAGTTACTGTGAAATTGACAAGTCAGAAATTTATAGTCACCATCACAGCTGCAGAAGGAAGGGATTTAAACATAACATACAGATTGTTGGAATTATCCATTTCTTCTTAATTATTAATCTAATACATGATAAAGTCCATAATTCTGTACTTGCCCAGACTTGCTCCATAGTAATAACCATTTGTACCTGCATATTCTCAACCATGTGCCCTTGAGGTAGTCTGTCCTCAAAGGAATGCTACACCCCCAGAGAACTGATGGCCCCTGAAGACAGTCTTGGAACTTAGTCTCAGGGAAAGCAGAAAAGGGGACCAGATCAAGAATTTATTTATGATGATACTTAAGATTTCTACCTCTCCCCAGTGAAAAATGTAACAGACTCCCTCAGTGGTTTTACTTCTAAGATTGCCTGTGGCATTGCCAGCCCTGGTTTCTCATCAGTAGGCATAATTTATCCATTTATTTTCTTTAAAATAATTTACAATTGTATAGTATTCTGTCCACAAGAATAAAGAAAAGATTATAGAGTTGCTTCTAAATTGGTACTTGTGGCATGGGAAAGAGGGTTTTAATCATCATAGAGAGTAGTCCTTGTCATCAGGCCTGAATGACCCAGCCCTTCTCTTCTGACTGCATTACTCAGACGTGAGTCTAACAGTGGGTTATTAGCCTTCCATTAATTCGCAGCTGAAACTACCACAGTGGCCCCTTTTATTTTGGTGATTAAATTGAAATCTGTGTTTCCTCTTGGATGTGAAATAACCTATAAGTTTTATGGACATCAATTCAAATTTTAACTTTATATTCCAACAGAAAATGGGGAGAGACCAAATTTTTAAGAATACTTTTCAGGGCATCTATTCTGATCAGAAGATCTGTAAAGACTGTCCTCACAGGTTAGTGAAGTCACTGATACATGAAAATTGATCATCAGTCTGGGGGAGTAGCTCAGTGGTAAATCAGTTGTCTGGCATGCACAGGGTCCTGAGAACTGGGTTGGGGGTGTCATTTTAAATGATTTTATTATGATGTTACAAATTTTGTATTTGTTGATACATCTCTCAGTGGATTTATAAATATTTAATGGATTAAATATAATGTTTTTGGTTTCTATTTGCAGAATTTATTTTATATGTGGCCCTAAGAAAATATTTGTTGAAATTCATAATTTTAAGCAACTTTAAATTACAACTTGGTATTTTTCTTTGATAGTGTACTTTTAAAAGATTGAGGTATATGTTGATTTCACTGATTGGGAATGTAATTCTGTGTTCAGGTTCATGTATCATAGTAAATAAGTTCAGGAATTTTATATTCATGGGTTTTTCTCTCATTTCCTAATCAGGTATGAGCGTGAGGAAGCTTTCATGGCACTCAATCTAGGAGTTACTTCTTGTCAGAGTCTGGAAATTTCTTTGGACCAGTTTGTTAGAGGAGAAGTTCTAGAAGGAAGTAATGCATACTACTGTGAAAAATGTAAAGAAAAGGTATTACATTTGCCTGTTTTAAAAAACAAGCTTAATTTGTTGTTCATGTACCATGTCTTTATTTTATGTAAAATCCGTATTAAGGTCCTGTTTGCTATTTCCATTAGATAGGATCGTTACTTGTTTTAAATGGATGGGAATTTTTTACTAATTATTTGCTGTTTTGTTTTTTCCATCAACATAATTGTTTTTGGCTTTTCTTTAGAGAATAACAGTGAAAAGGACCTGCATTAAGTCTTTACCTAGTGTGTTAGTCATTCACCTGATGAGATTTGGATTTGACTGGGAAAGCGGACGCTCCATTAAATATGATGAACAAATAAGGGTAATTTTTTTCCTTCCTAAAGCCTCCCAACATTCCCTCACTGCCTCTGTCCTCTCTTCTGTTTTCACATTCTGTTTGCCCATGAAACATATCATTAGGAGTTCACAGCCATTGCCTTGCAAAGCTAGTAGTACTGGAGCATTTACTTTCTGGAAGCCACCCTAGTGATGGCTGTGCGGTGCAGTATTTTCTGTAAGATTCGGAGTAGCAGCTACTTGTACTTGCCCAGACTCAGCCTGTCTGGGATGCTACACTGAATCAGTTAACTGTGAAAACAGCCTTTTATTAAAGTAGCTGATTTAATTGGGTATGCTGTCTGTTCCTAGTCACTACAGTGGTCCTTTTCCTTTTACAGTTTCCCTGGATGCTAAACATGGAGCCCTACACAGTTTCAGGAATGGCTCGCCAGGATTCATCCTCTGAAGTTGGTGAAAATGGCAGAAGTATGGATCAGGGAGGTGGAGGATCCCCACGGAAGAAAGTTGCCCTTACAGAAAACTATGAACTTGTCGGTGTCATTGTGCACAGTGGGCAGGCACACGCAGGCCACTACTATTCTTTCATTAAGGACAGGCGGTAAGGGTTTCTTAACACAGTCCTCGCTCCCTCTCTGACCTCCCGGGGGTCCCCTCTGCTTTCTCTGCCCCACTTCACAATCCACACTCATAACAGTGATGGATTATTCTTCATTCTTTCTTCATTTTCAATTTTTAAGGCTTTCTGGAACTTTTTAGCTTTTCAATTTGAAAACTTGCTTCAGAAACTAAAATTGCTACTGCTAAATTTTTCATAAATATTTAAAATGCTAATGACTTGCTTTAAATGTAGATGATACATAGAGATAAACACGTGAAGGGGATGTTTGGTGTTTTACCTTATCATATTTGCTCTCTGGGCCCTAGGGGGTGTGGAAAAGGAAAGTGGTATAAATTTAATGACACAGTTATAGAAGAATTTGATCTAAACGATGAGACTCTGGAGTATGAATGCTTTGGAGGAGAATATAGACCAAAAGTTTACGATCAAAGTAAGTATTTACCATTGGATATTTTCTACTAATTTTTAATATGCAGTTTTCTATCAAGTTGGAAGCAACATTTTTTATGTAAAAATACATTTTGTTCCTTTTACGAATGTAGCAGTTCTGTCAACAGAACCAGAAATTCTTTGACAGCCAGAATGAAAATGTTCAAGCTGCAGCAGACTAGGGGAGGGAAGAAAGGCTCAAAGTACATTGCACAGGTGCATGAGAAGTCCAGAATGAAACCCACTAGTCTATATAACTTAATATACACTAATAAAACAATTAACTTTAACTTTTTTTTAAAGAATTCATTTACAAATTGAAAAAAAAACATTCAAGCTACTTATAAAAATGTTTTCACATACAGGATTTAGAGTAAGGAGGATGAAATAAATTCAGAGAAAAGAGGATAAATAAGAATTTTACCCTAAAAATAGTTTCAGGGGAAGTAGTTGTCCACTGAAGTTTTCAGATTTCCTTTTTACATATATAGAAATAGATTAATTAGAAAAGACACTTCTAAAAACTATACTTTTAACTCTATATTTATTAGGCAGTACAGTTAAGCAGTCTTTCCCCCGTAGTGCCCCCTCTGCCCCCAGGAAAGTGTATGAGGAGGACATTACAAAACTCAGTCCGCATTTAATCTTTGGAAAGAACATTTTTCAGTCCTTTGTATTTGGAAACCTGATTTTGAAACCTTGGAGGAGCCATTCTAAATTTCTACCTGCAGTAGATGAGCTGTGTTAGACTTTGCTGTGTTCCATGTGGTCACATACATATAGTACCTGGTGGACCCTCTGAGGGCTGAATCTCAGAGCACTACCAAAATTGACCTGGATTTGGCCGTCTTTGCAGAAATGGTTAAATAAGGACAATTATGATTCCATCCTATATCACAGATCATATTTTTTAATGTTGCTTGCCTTTTGCTTATTTGGATTCCCCTGGATATTTGCCTTCTTTCCCTTACTTCCTAGCCCATCTCACCTCCCAAGAACGTGATCTAATTCCAGTCCAAGAACTGGAGCAATCCTGCCTTCTATTCTAAACAATACTATAAAAAGAACCGTATTTTACTTACACTTTGTGTTTAACAAATTTAGTACATAATTCCTTGCTGGGTTTATGGGTTCTTCGCTTTAGACAGTCAGGAAAACCTTTTTTTATTTACAAAGACATTTTTTGTGTGTGTTACCATAAAACAGCAAACCCTTACACTGACGTGCGTCGAAGATACTGGAACGCCTATATGCTGTTCTACCAAAGGGTATCTGATCAAAACTCTCCAGTGTTGCCAAAGAAAAGTCGAGTCAGCGTTGTCAGGCAGGAAGCTGAGGATCTCTCTCTGTAAGTTCTCTTCTGTGTCATTTACCTTGTGATTTCAGTAGGTGATACTGTGATCGTTGAGAATGTAAAGAAAATTAGCTAAGCTAGGGAATGTTCTGGCAAGTATTCTAAAAAGAAAATAAATAATCCCTTTTCTTTTACATTGCTGCCTATACATTATTTCTTGGCAAGAAGTTATTTTGTGTCTAGAAACATACATCTTATTTCATTCCAGAATTGAGATTTTTAAAACATTTTGGTAGCATTTATTGATCACATTTTGTCCAAAAAATGTCACTGCATTGACACTGTCAGGAAGTTGTATTTATAAGGTCCTCTTGTGAGCAAATTTGCCTTTTTATATATAGAATTAGGAAAGTATACAATTCATGTATAATTCTGGAATGCTGTCTACAAGTTGGCCAATTTCAGTAACTCCTAAAACAAAACCACTTAATCCTAGACAGCTTCTGTTTCCATCTCTCAGGTCAGCTCCGTCTTCACCAGAAATTTCACCTCAGTCATCTCCTCGGCCCCATCGGCCTAACAATGACCGACTCTCTATTCTGACCAAACTGGTTAAAAAAGGCGAGAAAAAAGGACTGTTTGTGGAGAAAATGCCTGCTCGAATATACCAGGTAAGAACTACAGAAACAGTGCTAAGATGAAAGTCTTATAGATAAATTGTGTAGGTCCAGAGTCTTCCTTGCTTTTTCTCAATTCATTATACCTCATGTGCCACCTTCACAATCTCACTTGTCTCATAAAGCTTTTGTGCCAGGTCACAGTGGCAATAGATTGACGTATGAACATACATGTGAGTCACACTCAGGATTGCTCAGCACTGTCCCTGGGTATAGAAGCATTGTTGAAATTAGCTTATTTTAATCCGGAGAGAAAATCCAAGTTAATGATTATAAAACTACTGTGACAGGGATGACATTATTTATTGCTCTGTGCTACAGACTTTAAATAAAAATCTAATTTTTAGAACACTTGTAGAGTGGCAAGTTTCACTCCCATTTTTCAGAAGGAAAAACTGAGACTCAGAAAAGTGGGAATGGTTTGACAATGTCATAAAGCAAGGATTTACATTCAGAACTATGCAGCTACCCAGTCCAGAATTTTTTCACTAAGTAACCAAAGCTAAATAGCCAGAATTTAAGAAAAATGTACAATCTTTTATTAAGAAAGAAAATTGGACCATTTGACCCAGGGAGAGTCACAGATCCTTGGGAAAGCCCTGACCCTTTCCACCCCGAGTGTCAGGTTTGAATGTCTTACCTTGCACATGGTGCTTTCCCACATTTCTTGAGTTTGTTAATAAAAGATTGTTCACCTTTCTGCAGCTTCTTACATTTGAAAGGAAGATTTTTCCCTTTAATTTTTTCAAAATTCAAAGCTTATAATAAAATTACTACCTATAATTCAGTTTTTATAAACCCTTTCCTAAACATTTTAGTAAAAACATCCACATGCTGACTGTTTTACCTTGTTTCTTAAAAATAATTACTAATTTTCTTTCGTAGATGGTGAGAGATGAAAACCTCAAGTTTATGAAGAATAGAGATGTGTACAGTAGTGATTATTTCAGTTTTGTTTTGTCTTTAGCTTCATTGAATGCTGTAAGTAGCTGGTTGTATTGTTACTTTTAAAAGTGAGGATTACAGTTGAATACTTTTTAGCTAATGCATTCAGTGACATCCTCTATCGTAGTTGTTAGCATTCAGGTTAAATGCAAAAAAACTTCCAATAAATGTGTTACCTGCTGGGTGACATTAACAGTGAAGGCAGCCTATTGTCAGTGGGTGTGAGTTTCCTCATGCAGTACTCACTTTTTAAAGTGCCCTTGTTTAGGTTTTGTAAAGAATCCAAGAGTGACTATGAAATCGAATAGCCATAGGTTCATATCAGTGGATACTGAGATACTGAGCTTTGTAAAGATGAATTGTTTCTGATTTGTAATCACATGTTGTTAAACTCAAGATTAACTTTCAAATACTTCCTTTTCTTTTGTACCATTATTAGAATCTGCCAAAAGGGGGAAATTTTGTTGCTGGTTTCTTGATTACTTTAATATCCTGTGGCTTATAGGCTCTATTTTAATACTTTAATTCTTAAACGTAGAGGATATTTTCTCTTAAGCCTTTTAGGGTTTTTTGTTTTTGTTGGTTTTTTGAGGCAGGGTCTCAGTATGTAGTTGAGACTGACCTGGAACTCACTGTGTAGCCCAGGCTGGTCTTGAACTCACAGCGATCCTCCTGCCTCAGCCTCCCGAGTGCTGGTATTACAGGCATGCGCCACCACGCCTGGCCTCTTAAGCCTTTTAAAAATTGAAATGGAATATTTTCTATAATGAAATGGCCAGATTTTTCTTATTGTTTAACATCTCTCTGTATGTCATTAGTCAGTTCATAAGTAATGTGTAAAGCTTCTGTGAAAAAGCAAGTTCCATCTTTTTTCTCCCTCTTAGACTAAATTAAAGCATCCATATTATCCTTGCATGGCAAAGGTGAGCTTGCAACTTGCTATTCAGTTCCTTTTCCAAACTTACCTACGGACAAAGAAAAAACTCAGGTATGTTTTGGTAGTATTTTGTGACAAAAGGTGCAGTTTACAAATTCTACTTTTAAAAATACTCTAAAGGCGACTCCCTAGTATAGTGAGATGGCCAAGACATGGTCTCTCAGAAATATTTAATCTAATGGGAAGGATAGGTAAAAACAGAAAGAACTGATCAAGACATAAATGAGTACATCTTTGGGAACTGGACAAAACAGATGCAGATGCAGAGATTAGGGTAACATTTAAAGGAAGGCATTGGTGTTCTCTGAGTTATTTTGAAAAGCAAAAGGGGAAACACAGAGGGATCATTCCAGGCACGAGGAAAGAGGCTGAGTAGCAGACAGAGACACCTGGGAAATAGTGAATGACTAGAGCTGCACTCTTGTAAGGGACTCCGTGAGCAGAGACCAGATACCTGGGTTGGAGCCTTTGAAGGGACCAGAGTGCCAGCGGAGGGAGCTTAGGATTTGTTCAGTGAGAGATCACAAGGGGTTTTGACCTGGAGCACAGTTAATGATGTGCATGGATTGCATCTTAACTAGGCACTAGTTTTTATCTCCAGCACCCGGCCCACAGGTTCTGGGTAAACAGCTGTTCTGTGAGCAAATGAGTGACAGAGAAGGAGAGTGGAGCAGTTTGTGAGTTGTACCTAAAGGCAAGACGGGATGAGGAGACCAGTGAGCTTCCCATGGGTCACTGAGTTCTTAGTCTTTAGTCTCTTATCCATGGTTGGGGCAGGGGGCGAGGGAAAGATTCTGCACTCACAAACTTGAGAACACTAATCTCTTGGCAGCTTCATTTTTATGTGTAATAACCAGTTGCACATTGAATGATCTGGCTTTATTATGTGATTGAAAAAGAAGACAGAATGTGCTCCTTTAATGTCTGCATAGGATTAACTAGGGAAGTTTAACTGGTTACTTTTATTCATGAAATATGTGTGTGATATCTACACATTACAATCTATTCCCTGATGTTTTAACATATAGTCACCTTTTTTCTGTCTAAATATTTATATTCCATAAAGTGGGATATTAATAGTTGTAGCAATATAGTATAAAAATGTTGATGTGATCATTTCATGTGAATTAATTGTGCCAGACAAGAAAAATTGTTTGATGAAGATAAAGAGTTAAAAACTGAAGTCAAAAATTTAAGCTTCTTTATATATTTTTGTCTGAGGACTGGAGGGAAGAAAACAGTCACATAGGTAACCCTGAAAGGATGGAAAGAAAAACCTTCTGGGTATACTGAGCCATGGAAGTAGGTTGTTAGTGAATTTTCTTTTTTCTTTTTTCTTTTTTTTTTTTTTTTTTTTTTTTTTTTTTTTGTTATCAGGGATTGAACTCGGGACCCTGCACTTGTGAGGCAGGCAGTGGAACTGCTGAGCTAAATCCCCAGTCCATAGTTAGTGAATATTTAGCTCACCCTCCACCCTGCCCCTGATGGACAGGCAGACAGTGGGAGGGCACTGTGGGGTTGTTTGCTCAGCCTTAACATCCCTCTTTGCTTTGTAAAAAGGGTTGACACTGAAGAATGGATTGCTACTATCGAAGCATTACTTTCAAAAAGTTTTGATGCTTGCCAGTGGCTTGTTGAATATTTTATTAGTTCTGAAGGACGGGAGTTAATAAAGTAAGTATCAAGATCTTTTAATTAAAGAAATCTCTATTATGACTTAAAAATGTCTCAGCTTGAAGTTCCCTTTCTGATTGGAGTCCATTTCCAGTTCCCTTTGCTGAAGCAGTGAGGGGGTTACTCGGGCCACTCCAGTCATCTCTGCTGGGCTAGATTCAGGCCACATTTCAGTGTGTGTGAGAACGTGTGAGGCAGATGGCCCGGGTGCTCTTGGGCTCAAGGGGACCCTCAGTCTATGACAGATGACTGAGGCTACTACACTGTCCACTTACTATCTATGTTTGAGTTCTGGCTAAAAGTTATTTTTTTCAGACATCTACTGAAAGTACATTAATTGATAGTACTTTACCCATGTACTTATGATTTTCTTTTTTTCTGATACCGGGGCTCAAACTCAGGACCTTGCACATGAGAGGCATGCACGGTGCTACGACTGAGCTAAATCCCTGGCTCGTGCATCTATGATTTTAAAGAGTAATTTACCTTTTCTGGTAAGAATTCACAATGCTCCAGACACTATGAGTGTTCACATTTTATTCCAGCCATCCTCATGCATCCCAGCCTCACTTTTCCTTGGGGAGTTCAGCAGTCTTACGGACAGCACAGCAAATACCTCACGTCGTGAGGTGGAGTTCTGTCCCTCTGCCTCAGTTTTCAGCTTCTCTTGTTAACTCACTGCACTTCCCGAGGTGTACTTTTTGAAAGAAATTAAATTACTTTACTTCTCTGCTGTAGAATTCTTCAGTAGATTCCCACTGCACTGTGATAAAGTCTAAAATTTTCACTGTAATCCAGAAGACTTTACTAGGTCTAGTCTTTGTTCTTCCAGGCTTACCTTATGTTACTTCCTAGCTTATCAAGATTTGGCCTTCTTGGCTTATTGGTTCACAGAACATGCTGAGCTTTTTCTGCTGCCTAAAGCCTCTTGCACCTGTTACTCCTTCTATCTGGAGCTTTGTTCTCTCCCTTCTGTGTAGTAAGTGCCTTCTGCTCTATGAGATGTTGAGTAGCCCTTCCAGAAGTTTTTTAGATTGTGCAACCAGAAATTTTTCAGATTATTTTAGATTTTGGAATATTTGTATACACATAGCCCAAAAGTAATTTTATGCAATATTGTTAATCATTTTGTGCCTGAAATAAATAGTTCCATGGTGTGGAATTTTTCACTATGGCATCATATTGGCACTAAAAAATTTCAGATTCTATAGCATTTTGTTTTAAGGGTGCTCGACCTGTACTGATATTAGTAACTGTAGACATTAGCAGGATGCTTGGTGCAGGGGCTCCTCCCCATTACCCCAGTTCTGAGGAAGAATGAGGGAGGAAGGGCACAAGACCCTGCCTCAGAAAGTAAAAGGGCTAGAGGTACAGCTCAGTTTTAGAATGCCCCTGGATTTCTTCCCCAGTATCACCAAGAAGAAGAGCAGGCTGGTGGTGTCTGTTACATCAGCACCTCAGTATACTACTGCTTTTAAGCAGTTTTTAAATGTAGTTATAAATATTTCTTACAAATTGATCTAAAGAAAATAAAACTACTATTGTGAAGGGTAGTTCACATATGCATTCCCCACCACTAGGTTTTGAAACCAGGACCTCACACTCTAGTGCTGAGCTACAGCCCAGCTCCTTTCCATTTTGATACAAGTTCTCAGTTCCTCAGGCTGGCCATCAATGGGATCCTCCTGCCTCAGCCTTCCAAGTAGCTAGGATTACAGGCATGCACCAGCCCTTTTTTTTTTTTTTTTTTTTTCTATACCAGGGATTAAACTCAGGACCTTGTGCCTGCAAGGCAGGTGTAGCACCACTGAGCTAAATCCCAGGCCCTGGAAACTTTTAAATGTATAAAAAACTACACAGAATAATGAATTCTTGTGTACCCATATACCTACCAGCTGAAGTTGTCAACGTTTTTCTGGTCTTGCCCAATTCTCACACATATGAACACTAACGTAATGCATTTTCCTGCTCTATTTTAAATTAAATTTCAGTATACATAAGATTCATAAATGTTTCGGCATGTGTTCTGTTAGGTAAAGTTGTAAAAATACATAAACAATTTATCATCACATCGGGCAGAATTACTAATGCCTTTATATTATCTTATACTCTCCACATTCGGATTTCCCCAGACCTCTGAGAGAGTATCATTTTGCCATCAGGTTTGTACAGATCCAGATCCAGTGAGGTCCACACTGGCCTGTGTTTCCACTCATCGGAACTCCTTTGCCCACCACCCCTTTCTTTATCCTCCCATTTTTGGGGCAAGGAGATGGGACTCGCTGCAGTCTGGACCTGTCTGCGTTCTCTCAGTGTGCAGTGCTGTGATAGGAACTGTACCCAAATGAGCCACAGGAGAGTGTTTCAGGAGTACTTGTGTTCTTTGAAATGTCTTCCCATTGCCGGGTAGACCCTCGTCTGTCTGGCACAGGCAGCACCAGCAAGGCTGACCAGAGATAGAGGCCCTCGGGATTCCCACCTGCCTGTGGGTGAGCACCAAAGCGCTCAAGAGATGTGAGCTCACACCTCTGCACTGCAGTGCTGCTTGGCTGGCAGGTTGGGGTTACGGGCTGCTGTTGTTTTTCACGTCCTATTTCCCCTTTATCGTAGGATTTTCTTATTGGAGTGCAGCGTGAGAGAAGTACGAGTTGCTGTGGCCACCATTCTGGAGAAAACCTTAGACAGTGCCTTGTTTTATCAAGATAAGGTCAGTCTCGCTTTTAAAATTGTGTCTACACATTCTGCTCTCACTAGATGTTCACAATTGCACATAATGTGAAAGACAGCCTAATGTTAGCATTCAGGTGTCCTGCCACATACATTGCACCTCCTGTAAATGAAGTACATCAGAGAAAAGGGTATTCTGACCCCTCTTCCAGTTCAGAAACCAGGGCAGGCGAGGGAGGGGGTCAGGTCTGGGCTGCTTCAGGGTTTTCTCTCCAGAGCACCCTGTTCAAAATCCCCTGTCAAGAGCTAGTGCTGGGTCTCAGAACTGAGACCGGCTTGAGTCTAGACCCTCTGGTCGGTATCTTCTGCACCGCTGTGGCATTCTTTTTCCTCATTCACTGTTTTCCATACCTAAACCTGCGGTTGACAGCCAGATCAAATAGTACTGTTTGTCTAAGGAACTGGCCAGAGCAGTAACTTCCTGGGTCTCTGTTATTCCTTAAGCTTTGTTTCTGTTCCTCTGAAATTTTTTTCTTCTTTCTAACCCTGTTTTTTGCAGTATATTCTCTGGTTCACAATTCCACATATACAAAAGTTAAAATAAATTGGTGTTTATTCCCATCTTTGGTCCCCAGAGATTTTAAGTCTTAAGGAAATGAGTGGCATATACCATAAATCTGATTAGTCATCTGTTATTAAGTCCTAGCAAACACAGAATTAGTCCCAACTTTGCTGTTTCAAACAGCTGACACTATATGGAAAACTTTGAAAAATGTTTTCAGAACAAATTGGCTGGAGGAAGTGTCTCATTCAACTAAATACAAATCTATGAATTGCTGCTTCAATATTAGGTGTTAGCTTTGCTGTACAACCTTGAGCAAATCCTTTGAGGAGGGTGCTGATACAGATTCAGTGCTTGGTGCCAAGTATTTATACCTGCGGCATTGCAGGACTCGGTACACTGTTAGACTAGACAAGCTCGGAAGCTTTATTCAGTCTAGAATGAGCAGGAGCTAGGAAAGACTTCTCTCTGCTCCAGGAAGCAAACAGTTAAGATTTACTATAAGGCAGTGGTTTTCCATTAGCTTAATGGCAGAGCCATTTTTCAAGCCTTACCTGGACACAGAATATTCTTAAGCCTTTGGGAACTGTTTAGCACAGTTTGAATACCATTGCTCTAAGATTCTCCTGCGGAGTTCGCTAAGCTGCATCAAGAATCTTTAACATAAAGACCATCTCTCTCTCCTCCTTCCTCCCCTGAATCAACCCAAACAAAGGAAAAAGGTAGAGCTAGTTCAGTCTCCCTGTAGGTGGGGTCAGGCATTGCAGCCCACCACCCTCTAAGGGCGGTCAGCAGGTGGTAGGAAGGGAGGGGAGCCATTGCCTAAGGAAATTCTGTTTCATACCCATTTCATCCCAGTTCATGTAATTCGTGTTGATTTTTCTCCATAATGAAAATGCCTCTTGCCACCCATTTTATACTTCACTTACTGAAAAATGAAGGGCTGTATAAATGCTAAATTTTACTGTATTTATAATGGGTATGACAGGATGGATGGGAGCATTTCAGAAGTCTTTGGAGGAATGAATTAATGAGAGTAGGAAGCCTGGTCTTGATATTCAGCTCACAAGTGAATTTCTGAGGCCTTGTCAAAAAACACTTGGGGTGGGAGGGAAAGAAGGAGCAATGTCATAACCAAAATGGTTTCTAAACAAATAAAATGTTTTTCAAAGCTTTCCATGAGGCGTCAGCGGGCTTCCAAGTAAGTTCCCAGTTGAGTTGGTATTGCCGTGTCATCCTGTCAGGCTGTTGCTCTCCATTTGCTCCATTGGCTTGGTTTCCAGCCCCTCTGCCTGTGTCTGTGTTTTTATTCTTTGCATCTGTGACCATGTGAAGAAGCAGCATAGTGGAGGGGAGGGATGCAGAAGTTCTTCCTCCCAGAATGCCCAGCTGTTTAAGAGAGGGAGGAATTCACTCTGGAGAAATGTGACTTAGGCAGTACAGTTGTAGGAAATATAGGAAACAAGTAGGCTTTTCTGTATTACCATAGAACCAATCTTTCCCTGGATGGTAAAACTAATAATTCTGTTTCTGTTCTCCAAAGCATAAATCCATCTGAATATGAGACTGGTTGTATCAATTTCCTTTTGTTTTTATGGTGGTTTACTTCAGAGTAATCCTGTTATAGTCATCTTACACCCTTTTTCTTTGTGTAATTTCCTCTTTCTTCTAAGCAGTTAAAAAGCCTTCATCAGTTACTGGAAGTACTACTTGCCCTTCTGGATAAAGATGTCCCAGAAAATTGCAAAAACTGTGCTCAGTACTTTTTCCTGTTCAACACCTTTGTGCAAAAGGTAAAAAGTTTTTTTTCTAACATCGTTTTCTCATATAGCATATTTATTATCTAAAGAAGTTTTATACATGGAAAAATTTTAGACTGGTCATTATATGTTTTATGTGATAAGGCTTGGTGAGTGTTTTATCTTAGAAAATCTAAATTAATGAGTTAGAGTACTTATAAGAATTCTGAACCAAGACCTGTCATGTAAAGGTGCACGATCCCAATAATGAATATAACTGTACTGTATACCTAAAATGTACCAATAAACTCAATAAAAAGAAAAAAATAATTCTGCACGGGGATGTAGTTCATTGGCACTGTGCCTGACAAGCACAAGGTCTTGAGTTCAATCCCTGGTACCAAAAAAAAAACAATTCTGATGCAGACAGATTCATTCACTCATGGATAGCAGTTGAAGTTTGTTTACGTGGATAAGCCAGACCTATTGGTGTATGCCTATAATTCCAGCTACTTGGGAGGCAGAGGCAGGATCCCAAGTTTAAGCCCAACCTGGTGTCTCAGAATAAAAAATAAAAAGGGCTAGGGTTGTAGCTCAGCGGTAGAGCGCCTCTGGCTTTAATTTCCAGTACCACAGACAAATAACAAGAAAAGCAGTGTGTTTGGTAACCATTGTGAAGCAGCAGGAGACTCAGATTTATTTATATTAGATTTTAACAAAGGGGTAGAGGGGTTGGAGGGAGGACAGGGAATGGGGAAAAAGTAAGAACCAAGATAGATTATGTAAAGGTACAAATTTCCAGGGATGAATGTCATTATATTGTATACCTAAATTGTACCAATAAAAATAATTCGTAAATAAATCGATAGAACCTGTAAAAGTTCTTATGTGGCTGTCTTTTTAAAACAAGTGTTTGGCTAGAATGTGACTTGTCATCTTCCATGTCTTGTGACAGCAGGGGATTAGAGCCGGAGATCTTCTCCTGCAGCACTCGGCACTGAGACACATGATCAGCTTCCTCCTCGGGGCCAGTCGGCAGAACAACCAGGTAAGGACGCAGCTGTCCCCAGCAGGGTGGCCTACGATTCCACTTCGGTTCTTCTCACTTTCATAAGAGTCCAAGTACAAGTAGTATCTGGGCTTTAAAGTTAAATTGGAAGTCAGTTAATTTTAAACTTAATAGAATTTGAGACTAACATGTGATAGCCCATGGCAGTTACTGGCTGGAGTATCAGTCACCATGTGGAGTGTGAGTGCCACAGAAGGGAAGGGTGAGTCATAAGGGAGAGGCTGAAGACTTGAAACACGTCAAGGAATAAGGTTTAGGGTCCCTTGCTTCCTCTTGGTGGCTGTGAATTTTTTGGTGGCAGTTGGAATTCACATGAGAAATTGTGGTTATAAACTATATGATGTTACAAACACATATAATACTCTTAGTCAAACAAAAGGCAACTTATTTTATAATAGGCTGGCTATATCCACAAGTGACTTTCCTGATTGAAATTCTTATTTTGGTGTGTTTCTCCATCTACTTTACAGTGATACCTCAGTTGTTGAATGGCTGCAAACTTGAACTCTTCATTACTTACTGGAACAGCAGAGTTTTTTTAAAAAGTCTGCTAAGTGTTCATTAAGTGTTCATAACTTTGCCTAATGGTCAAACTGAAAATCTGACTTGAAAAAAACTGTGTGAGCTGAGTCACACACCACAGACACAAAGGGACAACACTTCCATCTGAGCACCGCTCTCGCCCTGACAACAGTGGTGTTAGTGCATGAAAACATTTGTCATTGTGTACTTTTTTGCACTGTATTTGCATAAAATACAGTAACCATATCTCCAAAGAAAGTTAGTGACGCTAGCAGCAAAGCCAAGAGGAACTATGACAGAGTTAAAGAAAGAAATCATTGCAAAATTTGTTCAAGTCCTGGAAAAATGAATCTATAACTAACTTTTGGACCTCAGAACCAATTATTTGGTTTTTCGTTATTTCTTATGTGAAAAATACATTCAGTTCTTGAACTTTTCAGTGTGAACACAAATCTGGAATGAATTGAATTCGACACCTGAGATATCACTGTATTTCTTTCGTATTATAGAATGTTAGCATGCAGTAATGCTGAGTACAGCTTATAGACAGCCTCTTATGTACCAGCTACCACTGGTCATGTACTGGTGGGACTTTGGACACTCGCAGTTCAGTGATTTCCTCCCCATTCTCAGGCAAGAGCTAAAGCGTAGAGACATTTGACAGTTTGTTCAAGGTCCTAAAGCTAATGTGTTGGTTGAATGGGGGATTCAGACCCAGGGCTGCAGATTTCCAGGCCAGAGCCTTTGGCTGGTGTGCCAGACTCTGCACGGGCAGGTTTTCTTTCTTTGTCACGAGAGACTTGCATCCTGGGCTCCTCAGCTTCCTGCCACATCACCCTACTGTCTTAGTCTTCAACTGCTCAAAACAAGTACTGACACCACAACAGGCTCTGGGTGTTATGTTTTGAGATTTTTTTCTGTTTTCACTTTAAACTCTTTACAGGACTCCATTGACACTGGTGTGTGATTTAAATGCACTGCCAGTCGGCATACATAAAATTAGTGTTACTTTGCGTTTGTGGAACACATTGCTTTTGAAAACATTTTCATTTTTCATGTTTCATTGGGTCCTTGCAGCTGCACATAGGCCATTACATACAGAGTCATGGAGAACACACCCAGTCCCCAGCCTCATGGGTTTTCCCATTTTGCTGAAGTGCAGGCAAGTTGTCTTGCTTGTCATGAACACGCATGGATGGATGGATTGGTTGGTTATAGAACCTGAGTTAATATGTTTCAGTGGAAACCCTTTGAGGTTTTAAACCTGTGGCTTTTTTTATGTTGACCTCTTCTACTACAGGCATTAAATAATTGTCCAATATTTTATGAATGAACAAATTCCACCCACATCCGAGATCTGCACAACACTAATGTGTTCTGTCTTCTCTGGTGCCAGATACGCCGTTGGAGCTCAGCACAAGCACGAGAATTTGGGAATCTGCACAATACAGTGGCGTTACTGGTCTTGCATTCAGATGTCTCTTCCCAGAGGAACGTTGGTGAGCTTTCCCATATCTTCATAAGTCAAACAGGAGGAGACACTGGGTGCGTCTGCATAGGGTGCTGGTGTGCGCAGTTGAATGGACATCACTTGTTTCTTTCCTATCTGGCATCTGAGGATCACTTGAGAGTTTTGTTATAATTCCTACAAAGTTTGCCCTATTTTACTAATTTGTCATAAAAGAAAATGAGTCAGTCACTTACTTGGAATTGTTTTTAACATTTTAAGTATAAAGGCTAATTCAGAGTTCATCCCAATAACTTGAACAATTGATATAATATATAGTGAGAAAAGTGAAGAAGGTATGGGTTGGCATTTCCTAGCTATTTGAACTTGACCAAGCCCCCTGACCTGTTCATATTGGTCCTCAATATGAAATGAAAATAAAATATTAAAAGTATAACTCCCAGGGCCAGGGATTTAGCTCTGCCTCAAGCACAATGTCCTGAGTTCTATCACCAGTACCAAAAAAAAATGTGTATCTTCCTAGGTGTGTGATACGATTGAAATAAAATGCTAAAGAACATTAGTAAAAAGGGGTTTCAAATATAAATTATTAAGATGTAATTTATAGTAAGATAGACCTGGTAGCATTCTCTTATTTTGTCACCAACTAGTAACATGGTCACAAAGACACAAATTGCCCTGCGTGACTATCCAGTGTCCTAGTCTGTGTATACATGTTTTTATACATTCCTAGGCTTTGTTGTGACAATAGCAACAGGGACACAACAGAGCGGCTGTGTTCAGTGTTTTCTGTGTGCTGTTCTTTTATACAGTATTTTAGTCTTGTTTAATCCCCTCCTCAGACCTATAAGAGAAATGATTTCTTTCTGTAGAAGAGCAAAGTAAGAAATAGAGGTTTAGTGGTTTCCCCAAGGTCGAGCAGCTGATAATAACAATGCCCAGGTGTGAATGCAAGCCTCTGATCAAAGGCTGTGATAGAGTTGTTGTCCTCTGGCCGAGGGTGACCCAAAGGCAGAAACTAGAGAAAAATCTCCAAGCATCATTTTGACAGAAAGGTGCATACTGGCTGGCTCTAAAGGGATATTGGGGAATCCCTCATATAGTTAGTTGTAAGGTACAGTTTGCTTCTTAAACTCTGACTCATTCATCTAAAATAACAAAACTTGACCGGGCCTAGTGGCACACGACTGTAGCCCCAGTATGCAGGAGACTGAGCCAGGAGGATTACTGTGAGTTCAAAGCCAACCTGGTCTACATAGTGAGTTTGAGGCTGGTCTGCACTACATAGCAAAACCTTGTCTCAAAAAGTAAAATAACATAACTACTAATTTTGTGAGCTTGGTTTTATGGAAGAAAATTAGAGTCTCTGCGTCCTTTTTCTAGAAGATGAGGTAACCCCTGCTGTATTGGTTGAATATACCATTGTTTGAGGACACTTGAGAAACAAAAATGTCTTGCCCAGTGCCTCTAGTAGAAGCTTTGGGTATTTTTTCATTTACTACTTGTATTTTTACCTCTTTGGAAGATTATCTTGAGTGGAAATCACTAGGGGTGCACAGCTCCACGTGAGGCACCCTTTGAAGGATCTAGGCAAACATTTTGTTTTGCTACAGCCTGACTTCCGCACCAGACTCTGAGGGATGAGGTTGTGAGAATTCAGCATCGTGTGTGTCACATTACCTGTGGGGATGTTTTGTGGAATACCACCAAGTGAGATGGATTTTGTTTTGCATCGTTTCTTTGGTCTCCTAAAGCTCCCGGCGTATTTAAGCAGCGGCCACCTATCAGCATTGCTCCCTCAAGCCCCCTGCTGCCCCTCCATGAGGAAGTGGAAGCCTTGCTGTTCCTGTCAGAAGGGAAGCCTTACTTGTTGGAGGTGTGTACCTATTATGCCTGAGCTCTTCATTTTTTGTTACTTTCTCCTACTTAAGGAAAAATATTTGTTGCCATATTTTACATGTTATTCTGATGAAGAAGAGTACTGTTAGAGAAGGATTCTCTCCTTTGTCTGTGTCAAAATGACATAATTAGGGCAGAGCGTGTATGTAGCTCAGTGGTAGAGCACATGCCTAACATGTAGGAGGCCCTAGGTTTGATCCTCGGCACTGCAGTCAATCAGTCAGTACATAAAGTAGAAGACAAGCTTTCTAGTCTTCTCTTCAGCCAAAACATGGACCAGTTACCCCTCCAGGCCACAGGAGGGGAAGGAGGTAAGGGTACTTGACATGTCAAAGTTACCTCAATATCAGAGGGCTTAGTTCCCGATCTCGTTTGTCCCTGGTTCTGGAAAACTACAACTCTGGCTACAGGTGTGCTTAACCTGGGGTAGTGGGAGTGTGTGGCCTGTCCTGGATGGGCGCCTTCCCTCCCCCAAGCGTCCCTCCTCTAAATCCTGCCTTCCAAAGCCTGATACACATGGCGTGAACCTGCGAACTGTGTACCATACGGCTTTTTAAATTACATCCACAGTGCTGTGCTGCATGTTTTTTTAGTTTTAAGCTTAACGTTATTTTTTTAATCTACCAGTGATTATTTTAGGTCATTTGCCTTTGAAATTTGATCAAAGAGACTCCAGGAAAAAAGTACACATTTGCAATAATGAATTGTATAAGGCCAAACAGACTTAGCCTGTATCTCTCCAGAGTCCTCTAACTAGAAACTCTGTTTTGAGGCAGTGTTCATGTTCTTGAGTTGGAGTAAATTCTGTTAAAGCCAGAGCAGACTAACATTAGCCATGGCAGGGGAGGTGCTCACACATCGGTGTCCACTCACCAGGTCATGTTTGCTCTCCGAGAGCTGACGGGCTCGCTGCTAACCCTCACGGAGATGGTGGTGTACTGCTGTTTCTGCAACGAGCACTTCTCCTTCACCATGCTGCACTTCATTAAGGTACAGCCTCGGTCTGCGGTGACAGTGGGTGGGGTGGCACCCACTGCTTTTCCAGTTGTTAAAGAGGACAGTATATGCTTTGTTTTCTTTTTAATTTAAGAAAGCCTTCATAATCCCATTATTCAGTCATCACCATGTACATTCTTTATCCTTTATATTCATAGATTTTAATATTAGCAGAATTTTGTTAGCTCATAGCTTTGTGTATTTCCACTTCATGTTATAAGTACTATTGTTAAAAGTTATCTGAGGGCCAGGGATTTAGCTCAGTGGCACCACACCTGCCTTGCAAGCTCAAGGTTCATACCCGGTACCAAAAAAAAAAAACTTATCTGCATCTGTTTCATCCTTTTTGTTTTTGTTTTTTGTTTTTTTGTCTTTTGAGACAGGGTCTCACTATGTAGTTGAGACTGACCTGGAACTCACTATGTAGCCCAGGCTCGTCTCGAACTCATAGTGATCCTCCTGTCTCAGCTTCAGTAGTGCTGGGATTACAGGCGTGCACCACCACACCCGGCAGTTTCATCCTTTTGTGTACTGTAATCTACTTAACCTTTTTCTTCCTAGTAATGTATATTCGCATAGGGTTCAGTTTTTAACTAGGTAAGAATAGTATTTTACATTAAATAATAATGCTGTGGTGACGGTTATTATGTAGAATTCTTTTCCATTTTCACAGTTGCTCCTACATAATGTTTTTAGAATGAAAAGTAGGGTTTGCTCACCTTCTGGCATAGTTTGTAATTAGAGGCACTGGTCAGGAAAGTGATCATTAATCACTTGTAATCACTCCTAGTAGACACCAAACACTGTTCCAGAGCATTACATATTTTAACTCGCTGAATTCTCACACAGTTCTCTGAGTAGATACTGCTGTTGTCACCATTTTCTAGTTGTAGAAAGTGAGACATACAGGAGGGAAATTGCTCAGGGTCACACAATTAGTTGATGACAGAGTGGGGCTTTCTACCTGGGTGATTGGCTCTAGGGCCCATCTCCTGGCACTCTCTTACCGCCTTCCTCAGTGTTACTAGGACAGCAGAGTACACAGTATCATTTTTATTGCTTTTTATTCTTAACATGGATTATATATACATTCTCTTTGTGGGAACTTCAAGCATATGCAGATCAGAGTCAGTTTTGACCACTACCGGTCATCTTTGTCCCTCTTCCCCACTCTGCCCCAAGGAGCAACATTGTGGAATGACCATGTTTTCTTCCAAGTGCTTTCTATGGACGCACACTGTATATGCTGGTTTCTCACTGTGCCTTCTTTCCAGCACAGTATTTATAGTGGAGATACATGTCGTGTAAACAACTAGCCAGTGACTATGGCTCACTAGGATGTTTTGCCCTCAGCCTTTGTGTATGTACCTGACAGTGGAGAGTAAGTTCTTCTCTGTGCTGTACACTAATTAAATGACCTTGGGCGTTTCCCTCCTCTGCAAGAACAGCATGTGAGGGTTTGGTAAGGTGTGACATGTGAAGAGCTTACCTTGGAAGTAATGGTGTTACAACACAATGTCCTTTCTCATCATATATTTATTTTTATATATATGTTAATTAAAATGCACAAAAAAGCGTGGATTTTGCTAACCTTTCTTCAGTTAGTGTATACTAGCAGATTTTTCTTTCATTATGTGACTTTTTTGTATACTTGGTTGAAAGCATATTTACCTCAGCATTCTTATTTTCATTATCTTAGCTACACAGCATATTCTAAAAAGCAAAGTACAGTTTGTTTGTATTTTTTAAATCAGGATCTCTTTATTGACTTAAAAGTCTCTCTAACTTCATAGTAAAGCATCATGGAGTGTTGAGCTCCTTAGAGGACCTCAGAAGTTTATTTCAGTTCCTACCATTTCAGTCCCTGTGGCATTTGAGAAAAAACTAAGACCAGAGAGGGGAGGTTGAGTTTCCTAAAGTCAGCCAGGTCTGGTACAATTAGGGTGTGGATCCAGCATTATTGATTACTGCTCCAGTGTAGTTGCCACTGAAAACTTACTGGAATTTTTATGCCTTCAAAAAAATATTTCAGAACCAACTAGAAACTGCTCCACCCCATGAGTTAAAGAACACATTCCAGCTGCTTCATGAGATACTGGTAAGTCATAAATGTTTATTCACATATATAGGTACTCACTAGTTATTTGCGTTTACAGATAAAAGTTATTAGTTCTCTTATTGCTTCATACTTATTCAGTATGCACTTCTGAGTCCTTTTCATGCCAGTCTTGTTCTGTATGCATTACTGAATTAGAGATGAGCAGTAATAAAAATGCCTCCTGGGAACTTGCATTGTGGTGAGAAAGCTGGTGCACAGGTAGGTAGAGTGCAGAGGTGCAAGGAGCCAGTCAGCCTCTCTAAGTGCTTAACCCCAGGATAACCCCACAGGTGAATTGCTGGGTTTATACTTCATCAGATCTTAGACACTTTATTAATTGTATATGTACTAGTAAAATATTTTGAGAGCCATGAAACTGAGATATAATTAATTGTATAAAATGTTTTCTAGTTTCAGAAAGTTGGAAAGCAAAAAAAAAGAAAGAAAAGTTTTAATTAGCAAAATACAGTATTATTAGAAACCGAGACTTAAAGAAGTGGAGTGAGTCGCCACACCCATCCCGGCAGTCCCCACAGCCCTGGCTCTGTGTCAGGCTCCTAAGGAGCTCTGTGACTTGTCATGACTGGAATGACCAGAGGACAGAATGAGAACTGAGTAGAGCTGAGTAAAGAAACCCAGTGCTAAGGCACATGGACTTTTTAAATATATTTAATAGTCATATGTCTTAGTTTAAGTTTGAGGTATGTGGCAGTGACAGAATACCCTTAGTATTGTATTCCATTGTGTAGAATCTAACCTAGTCCCTAGGTACCACTAGCTACAACACAGCTTTCTTCCTTCATTTACCAGAGCTTGCCTCCTTTCTCACAGGTCATTGAAGATCCCATTCAAGTGGAGCGAGTCAAATTTGTGTTTGAGACAGAAAATGGATTACTGGGTAAGAACTCAGGCAGATCCCCCACCCCAGCCTGGATGAGTGACTGGGCTGTTTGAAGTCTGATTAGGAAAAAAAAAGTAAAACTTCAGACTTTGAATTCTATCAAGCACATGAAATATGGCTGGCTATCTTAACCTGTGGTATCAGTACCTGCACTTCAATTTTTTAAATCAGGGCTTTCTTTTTCAGAAGGCTACCTTAGCTTTAATAAGCTATTTATTAGAAAAGGTTTAATTAAAAATACCTTACCTACCTCCCACCATCCCCACCTGTATTTTCAGTATTCAATTACTTTAGATCTTTTACAGTCATGTGCCACTTAACATTCTGTTAGCATTGGATCACATATGTGGTGGTTTAAATAAAATTATTTTGCCTAGTGATGTGGTAGCTGTCTGTATTTGTGAAATTCTTTCTGTCATGTGCCATGGTGACATAATTGCCTAATGATGAATTTTTTTGTAATATATCACCCTCCTTAAACACATGACTAGGCAACCATGTAGCCTCAGTTTTTTAGGCCCTTGCTTTGCAACAGTGTACTCTAGTCGGGACTATGCCCAGCGCTCTAAAAGTTAAAAACTAAACTCATCAAGAGCAGAGACAAGGATTTGGGTTTTTTGTTTTCTTTCAGTTTTTTAGACAAGGTCTCACTGTGTAGTCCAGCCTGTCCTTGAACTCACTGTGTAGCCCAGGCTGCCCTCGAACTTGCAGCAATCCTCCTGCCTCAGCCCCCAACTGCTGGGATTACAGGCATGCTACCATACCCAGCAAGGATTTGTTTTTAAATAAATCCCTAAAATTCAGAGCAGGAAATATTTATTAAACAGAACTACTTACATATTTTTCTTTATCCAACTATTATAACCACTCTTCTCTCAGCAGTATGGTGTATGGAAAACTGAGTACTCAGCCAGTTATATTTAGCTCCTGGCCGGGGATGTGGCTCAGTGAGACTGCACCTGCATGGCAAACACAACGTTCTATTTAATTCCTGGTACCAAAAAAAAAAAAA